CGCATCATAAGAAAGAGCTCTGAATCTCACCTACAACAGCTCTGTACCACTCACTCGTTGTGTTCATCAGCTAGTAACTCAACTACAATGGCCGAATCTCCTACTCTGGAGCTCGACAGTCCCACAGAACAGGATGTCGCGCCCGCAGAAGCGCAGCAGCTGCCACCCAAGCCAGCCAAAAGAGACGCCTGTACGCTCCGAACACAAACATCAACTCATCCCCCCCCTCTCCCCTTGCATAGCAGACGCAGGAACCACTAACTGATCATTCCTATCTCAGTTACAGAACTACTCGCCCCGAAACCTAAACATCCCAAACATGGCGATTCCAGCACATCCTCCAAGCACATTCTTCCTACCTCTAAAAGGCGAGCCATCGGTGGCCCCCGAGACGGCCTAGGCGTCTACATCGCGAAACCAGAATCGTTCCCCTCCAACGTAGTAGTATACTACGACGACGACTTCGTCGTTATCCACGACATGTTCCCTAAGGCAACCCTCCACCTCCTACTTCTCCCACGAGATCCCCAAAAAACGCGCCTCCATCCTTTCGAAGCCTTCGAGGACGCCGAGTTCCTGGCAAAAGTGAAGAAAGAAACGCACAAACTCCGCAAAGTCGCGGCTGGAGAGCTCAGACGAATACACGGGAAATACTCGGCGCAGGATAAGGAAAGGCAAGAGGCGCTTAATGTAGAACCGCCGCTGGAGGAGCTGCCGCCGGGGAGAAACTGGGAGCAGGAGATTATGTGTGGGATTCATGCGCATCCCTCCATGAATCACTTGCATGTGCATATTATCTCCGTGGATCGGTTCAGCGATCGTCTAAAGCATAGGAAACATTACAATAGTTTTTCTACACCGTTTTTCATCAATATTGATGATTTTCCGCTCGCGCCAGATGATGTGCGGAGACACCCGGATGAACAAGGCTACTTGCGGAGGGATTTTGTCTGTTGGCGCTGTGGGAAGCAATTTGGAAACAAATTCGCCGAGTTGAAGCTACATTTGAAGGAGGAATTTGATGCATGGAGAAAGCTGTGAGGCGCAGGAACTGCCCGCATGCATGCAGGATGGTATAAGCGACTGGGAGCTAGAGGCACGTTCTGCCATGTTTAGTTGAGCTTCAATTGGCACCTGATGGAGTGACGCGGGGAACCGACGACGCGGTTCCCCTGGCTGATTGCGTGAGCTTCGATTATAAATATCAATTTGAAGTAAATGTACACGCAAATCCAAGGCAGCAATAACTCTCGGTGGGGCCGCATTTTCAGTGACCCTTTCCCAAGTCCGCTAGCCTTACTCCGGAGTCGCTGAGAGAACCAACCAAGGTTCCCTCCGACTCCAAGCCCTTCCCAATATCTCCTCACAAATCACCCAAAGACTCAGCACTGCAAAGGGCCATTTAGGCACGGTTCTTAGACTTGGCGCCACCCTTGACCTTCCTGGCCTCAGGACGGCTGATGTGGTGAGCGGGGATCCACTCGGCGTTGTAGGTAGTGGCAGACGAGACAGCAGGGCTGCTGGGAGCCTCAACGGGGGCCTCCTTCTTGGAGGCACCAGCGGACTTCTTGTACTCGGGACCCTTTGCAGCACGGCGCTTCTGGGGGAAGTAGGGAGCGATCCAGACGGTGTAGAAGAAGTAGACGACGCCAGAGAAGCAAGCCAGGAGGAAGAAGTACAGGAAAAGGCTAATGATAATCGGGTTAGCTTGATCCCATCGACGAGCTGTGAGAATGTGCCTTACATCTGAGGGTCAAAGATGCTGGTCTCGGGCTCAACGACGCTGACAGTGCTGTTGTAGGCGTACAAAGTGAAGAGGTTGCCATTGGTATCAGAGATAACGGAAGCGAGAGTAAGCAGCAAGTCCTGGGGGTGCATTTCGGTGGCGAAGCTGTAGCTGACGCTCTCCTGCTGACCGGCCGGGATCTCAACGCTGTAACGGTGCGCAGTCAGGTTGCGAACAATTTGGCTGCTTTCTCCTTCAACCGCCGACAAGGAACCTCCAATGAAGTTCACAGTCACAGGAACTTCATCCTCATTGGCGAAAGTGATCAGCGCCTCAGTCGGGTAGCCATTGACAAGCTTGACACCGAAGATCTCCTCGGAGGCAGGGAAGGAGGCGTGGGCCGTGACAGAAAGCAATTGGGTTTCAGGGAGATCATCCTTCTCAGCAGCATCCTGATAAGATGCGACATCGCGTCAGCAACTCAATTGACTGTAAAACGATAAGAGTCACGCGAGTGGGAACATACCGCCGCGAGACTGCCGCCAATCAAGGCCTGGACAGAAAGGAGAGCCAGGGACAAGAAACCAAAGCGACCCATTGTGAATGAACCGGGAGTTGGGGACGAGAAGAGAAAGGGTGAGGGTGAGGAGAGGGGGGAAAGGGTGGGGGAGAGAAAGATCGAAGAGGCGATCGGACCAGAGATGGATGAAGAAGAGAGGGAGAAGTAAGAGGGAGAGGAGAAGCAACAAGAAAGAGAGGAAGGGGAACCGGGCAATTTCTCCACGTAGCCTCAATACTGCCTCAGGTTGGCTGGGATGGTTCCCCATGCGGCGGGCTGACTCAGCCCCAGCTCTCCCCGGCCGGCGGCTCGTGACTGGTTGGCGCCTCATGCGGCTGTTTTGATGGTGACTTGCTCTAGGCTTGTGCCAGTCCAGTTCACTTGTCTCTGTAGATCTCGCACTTTCTTCGTGACTGTACAGTAAATTCACTCCCGATAGTATTGACTTCCCCGCTGTCTGCCCAATCTGCTACTCTTTTTGGCTCTATAATCTCGATCGCCGCCGTTTCAGCCGCCTACCATCAACCCTTCCCCATTCTCGGTGCTTCTATAGCCTGGCGCTTCACAAGACCTCTCTCTCACTTGCTATCCCTCTTAAACCATTAGTGCCCAAACCTTACCTAGTCCATCATGACAGCTCCGGAATATTTCGAGCGATATAAACAGCTGGCATCTATAGAACAAGATAAGAATATCCTAATCGAGGTAGCCGCTCAGCATCACAGTATCAAGTGCTCCATGTTGACGTTACACTCCCTGCACCTAGGAACTTTTGCAGCGTGTGACAGAGCTGGAGGCTGCCTTCCAGCAAGAGAAACTCGATCATGAACGTGAAACACGGTTTAATCGTGATATCCAGCTTCATGAAATGGAGTTAATGCAGCATATCGCGAGGATCAAGGCCATTATGGTGGGACCTTCATAGTTCTGCAGCTTGGTCTGTGCTAATGATGTCCGTCCGCTTTTAGGACCGCGAGCCCTTTATAGTCGTGCTACTAGATGGAACTGGCATCATTTTCAAGGACGAGTTCCTCCAAAAGGGAGAAGAAGGTGGCAAAGTTGCAGCCAATAAGCTTGCTGTCGCCCTGAAAGACTATGTTGCCAGCAATTTCCCGGGCCTTGATAATCCAAAAATAATCACGAGGATGTACGTTAACTTGAAAGGTCTGAGCGAGATGTGTGTCCGAGGCGTCATTAGCACCGACCCATCATCGATCGAGGGCTTTGCTAAGGGCTTCAACAATGGCCATCCACTGTTCGACCTTGTGGACACTGGACTAGACAACGCACATGACAAGATTGCAGGTACGCATCAAGACTTCCTTGTCCAAGATACTTGCATTGGTATGTTACTCAGGACGATGCGCTGACCTGCTGTCTGCCATCTCTAGAGGCCTTCAAAGTCAACCTATATAACTGCCACTGTCATCAAATCTTTTTAGGATGCGCCGACACCAACGCATATGCCCAGATCTTGGTGGACATAATGGAAGACATTGACCTAGTAGGAAGAGTAACCTTGATCGAGGGCATCACCTTTGAAAAAGATCTGGCCAAGATCAAGGCCGCATACAGAGTCTCTCAGTTCCCAGAAATCCTTCGAAATACAAAAATAACACCTGTCTGGGCCCCGTGGAAGGCCGCAGTAGCGTCCAAACCTCCTCCAGCTCTTACTCCATCGCCGAAACCAGGCGCAGTGCCACTGTCACGAACCTCGACCAGCACGTCAACGAACGCTAGTACGTCGATGTCTTCCACTTCTGCCAGGCCATCAACTCCTGGGGATTTCCAAGTGGTGCAATCGAAATCAGTTACGCCCGCACGACCCAAGATCGTTGAACGAAACAAATACGGTCAACGTGTAGACCGGGTTGACTTTAAAAGCATCCCGCGAGAAGAGATGAATCGCCTGAAGAAACTAAAATTATGCAACCTTCATTACCTCCTAGGAGAATGCACAATTGACAATTGTCAGCATGACCACTCGCGCAAGTTGACCAGAAGTGAACTTTCAGTCTTGACCGCCATCGCCCGCATGACACCCTGCCGATATGGACTAGATTGCGATGACCCGGAATGTACATATGGGCATCGGTGCCCTCACGCAGAGCCCGGGAAAAAAGATTGTTACTGGGGTTCGAGTTGTCGATTTGATCCTACCGCGCACGGCATCGACACCAATATCGTTAGGTTAACCAAGGTCTAATAGCAGGGGTATAATAATCGGGGAAGCGAGCTCCATTTTCTCTTTCAAGTTTGCAGCGTGAAACAGGACCTGCATTGTTCTAGCACAAAAGTTGTGTTTTCCTTTGGCCTTTGTAATGGCTTCGCGCAGATAAGATTGGACTGTCTTTTTCACAAGTTTTTGGCCCATCAACACCAAGATCCCTGTTTGCTGGCGTGCTTCCTACACTTGATTTTCTACTACCTTACGCATGGTACATATCTTGATGGATATCCCTAAATTCGGTACTCAATCTGTGAAATTTTCTATCAATATGACATTTTCGCCAATCTCTCACCCGCTAACTATATGCAATTCAATCTATAAGTATCTTCGTCGTAGTACTACCGTCTCCGGACTGTCGTATTTGATAATATTGAAAATCCCAGTTTCTGTGCAACACTGATTCGATGGAAGCACTATCACATCGTTCTTGTTTTGCATACACGAAACCGTTGTCCCCAAGACTCACGCCCTTAGATAACCCTAGCACTAAAAGCAAAACAAAGTACCCTATGTATACAACAGCAAACACCACCGCTATTCCCATAAGAAAGTATTGCATGCAAAAGTGTATTACGAAATAGTCGTCATGAACATAGCAAAGCGCCTCTCCCAGCCAAAGCAGTCGTCATGACTACAGCCATTCTCATCATCTTCGTTATTAATGGTGGTGCTCTCCGTATCAGGGCGATGTCTGCAGAGAACACCATATTCTTGGATGCAGCAATTGAAAGGTCTGCATGAAACTGGACCTATGTCTTGCTTTCCGTCGTGCAGGGCCGCTCTTTTACGCTCCTCCAGATCGCCCCATAGTATGAAGAGCTTTTCTCGGAGTTCTTTTAGGTCGTGTTGGTTTCGTCTTAGACTAATGGACATAGCAAGATTAAAGTTAGAGGATCGGTCTCAGTCAGATTTTATCCTTTGTGTCAGTTATGCAAGGGGGGGATCGGCAAGACTTACTCGACTGCAGTTAATCCCAATAGATATTCCGCGTCCGGGCCAGCTACAAATAACCTCATCTGTTCTTTCTCCTGGCCTGCGGGTGGAGGAGGAATGCTTTCAACGAGCAGACAAAAGCGCCATTCCCATCTAATGAACCGGTCGGGATCTCTCTGGGAGGTTCCCTCGCCGGAGGAGTCTTCGGGAACGGAGAAGTCTTCCAGTCGTGGGGGGAAGAAATCGACCACACGAACTGTGGTTCGGTAGCAGAAATTCTGGAAAGGGAAGCGGTACTGTATGTTGTCATATGAGATGTTGTCATGGAGTTTGTTGGAGAGGATCGCTTCGAGGGACATTGTAGGAACAGACGGATTGCCGGCTATGACTGTCATGGACTGTCAATCAATTGTACGATACCACAGTGGCTATTAACCAGACAGCATGACTCACTGTTCTCATTTGGTGCATATCGCTTGCTGCTTGCTGCCGTGATGGGAACTTGGCCTTCTTCCACCTTTTCGGCTCTCTTTCGCTGTTTCTTGGTGCTTCTCTTGGGGACTTGCTGGGCTTCGTTTTCCGGTTCCCGCTTCCGAGGATTCGCTTTCCAGTATTCCGTCCTACGCTGTAGAAATTGCTCGACAAATGTATCTTTGCGACGGTCCAAGGTATGTACATTCACTGAATTTGGATTCGTGCGGTTTGTGTGAACACTGGCCTCTAAGATCCCGTTGATGCGGCTGCGCTTGACATGCACATTGTATAGCTGGATGAGATCGTTATTCTTTAGGTGTTGGCGCGCATACGATGCATGGGGTTCCCAGAGGGTGATTGAGAGGGTCATTCGTCCAACAGGTCCTGTCCATTTCTTCTTGGGTCTTTTTTGATAGCCGTAGATATCTCCCTCGGTGCCAAAGCCATTGTCACCGGCATCGTCTATTTGGCGGTCTTCGAGACCATCGTTGGCCGTGTAATCGGTGAAATAGAGGACGACCTTTTCACTGTCGTTGGTATAGATCTTGACAATTTCCCCCACAAGGTCAACATAATTTCGTTCTACAATATCCTTGACAAGTGAGAGCTTCTTGTGCGGATAAGGTTTGGAATTTGGAATTGCAGCCTGGACAATATAGGAACCACGCGGAGTATCCTGCGCTGGGGCTTTGCGGAAGCCATCGACCGCAGGGAGGCTATTCATCAGATTTAGAGCATGTATCTTCTCCGAAGGCGATGGCTCAAAGTGTGTAGGGCCACAAAGGGGTGCAGGACTAGACGTGGGATCCGGGTCCAAGCGAAAGATTGCCCAGGGTACTTCTCTATCCTGGGCAGCGACTCCAAGAGGGTCTCCTTTGAAATTTCTTACCTGCAGTCAAAGGGTCAGTCTGTCACCGTTGAAGGGGCCAAGTCATGCCTCACGAACCCACAGATCTCGTATTAGGATCACATCGCGTACCTGGACGGGAGGTAAATGGCTCTCATTGTCTTTGAAATATTTGATTTTCAACCCGTCCCATGTATGTCCATTGTCAAGACCTGAGTCCTTGATGGTAAAGGTGATACAGCTGGATGAGCCTCTAGACTTCCAAATCCCACCGAAGACGTCGACTACGACGCCAATGACACTTACTCTGCCCTGCGCAGAGAGCGCAGTGGACACATCCACGAAGCGAGACATGGTGTGGAAATTACGTTATGTCGCACATTTCATATTGAAGCCACGGTAGAACAGAGCCTGATGCATATAATGCATCCACTGCAGGACTGAAACGTCGTGAGTTCGGATTTCCTTGGCTGTTAATATAGATGATGAATAAGTTACTAGAAGTAGTATTGTTGATCGAACCGCGAATAGATCGACGCGGGACCGAGTGGAGCAGTTAGTAGTAATACACGTAAACAACGCATCCACCAGAAGGGCCCGAATTAGAAATGGTTCGCAAGACAGCCGGTTTCCAGAACAGCGTCAGAAGGTTTCTCGATGACAACTGATCCAATATAGATAGAAGAACAAGCAGACGCGTTTGTCAGGCAAAGAAATGAGACGACCCGGCGCCAACTTCGCTTAGGCGGAAGTGGCGCTTGCGGGCGGAGCTGGACGAAAACAGCAAATCAGCGGCGTCCCGTGACTGGGCAATCCCACCTCCGAAGAGCATCAACACTTTTTTCCCCTCCTTCTACCATCTCAGCTTTGCGCTTGTCCTTTCTTCCTTTGTCTAGCCTCTTTCTCTATCCCCTTATTTAGCTCGCTGGGATTCCCATCTCCCACATCTCGCTACTTACTTCATCTTCTTCTTTTCCCCCTCATCTCCTTTTCTCTCCCCCCATTTCTTAAGCTAATACACCCGGTTGTGGTGCGCTTTGTTTTCACCCCTCTGTGTCCCAAGCAACCATGGCCGAGCGCTACATCCCCGAACATCGTCGCACTCAGTTCAAGGCCCGGAACCAGTTCCGGCCTGACGAGCTCCGTCGTCGTCGTGAGGAACAACAGGTTGAAATCAGAAAGCAGAAGAGAGATGAGAATTTGGCCAAGAGGAGAGGTATCCAGACCCGCGATGGCGGCATTGGTGTGGGCGGCGGCGTAGCTGCCGAGAGTGACGATGAGGCCAGCGCCATCGAGAGTGAGGTATGCGGTTCCTGCATTTCTTTTTGTTTCTATATCCATTGTTCAATCTCTTTGTTCCTTTCCCGACCGGGAGCTGCGCCCGTCGGCTGCCCGTTTTCGATCTTTCTTTCTGGTCGGTCTTGCTTGTCCAGATGCGTCCCAGTGAGAGCTTTTCACCGCTTTGCCGCCGGGCGAGCCCTCATTCGGCCTTGACTAGACAAGCACACGACCAGCATCATCAAGACTACCATTGCGCTCAGCAAAGATGTGTTCATTACTGTGCAAATTAGCTAATGGATGGTTTTCTAGCTTAATGTGGAGCTCCCCGAGATGGTTAAGGGCGTCTTCTCCGATCAGATCGACCAGCAGATCCAAGCCACCACCAAGTTCAGGAAATTGCTCTCCAAGGAGCGCAACCCTCCCATTGAGCGTGTCATCGAGACCGGTGTCGTGAGCCGCTTCGTTGAATTCCTCCGATCCCCCCACACTCTTGTTCAGTTTGAAGCCGCTTGGGCTTTGACCAACATTGCCTCCGGTTCCGCCCAACAGACCCAGGTCGTTATCGAGGCTGGTGCTGTGCCGATCTTCTGCGAGCTCCTGAGCAGCCCTGAGCCCGATGTTCGTGAGCAGGCCGTCTGGGCCCTTGGTAACATTGCGGGTGACAGCCCTCAATGCCGTGACTTTGTCCTCAACGCCGGTGCTCTGCGTCCTCTGCTGAACCTCATCAACGATGGCCGGAAGCTGAGCATGCTGCGCAACGCTACCTGGACCCTGAGCAACTTCTGCCGCGGCAAGACGCCTCAGCCTGATTGGAACACCGTATGTCATCCTCTCTTCTCATGCTAACGAGCTGTTGTCGCTAACAATGAATTTCAAAGATTGCCCCCGCTCTTCCTGTCCTTGCTAAGCTCATCTACATGCTTGATGATGAGGTCCTTATCGATGCTTGCTGGGCCATCTCCTACCTGTCCGATGGCGCCAACGACAAGATCCAGGCTGTCATCGAGGCCGGCATCCCCCGCCGTCTTGTCGAGCTCCTCATGCACGCCTCGACCTCGGTCCAGACCCCCGCTCTCCGGTCGGTTGGTAACATCGTCACTGGTGACGATGTCCAGACCCAGGTCATCATCAACTGCGGTGCTCTTCCCGCCCTCCTTGCTCTGCTGAGCTCCACTAAGGACGGTATCCGTAAGGAGGCGTGCTGGACTATCTCCAACATCACTGCTGGTAACTCCAGCCAGATCCAGGCCGTCGTCGACGCCGGCATTATCCCTCCCTTGATCAACCTGCTGGCGAACGGTGACTTCAAGACGCGTAAGGAGGCCTGCTGGGCCATCTCCAACGCCACCTCCGGTGGTCTGCAGAAGCCTGACCAGATCCGCTACCTTGTGTCCCAAGGATGCATCAAGCCCCTGTGCGACCTTCTTGCTTGCCCTGACAACAAGATCATCCAGGTTGCTCTGGACGGTCTGGAGAACATCCTTAAGGTCGGCGAGATGGACAAGGAGGCTGGCCAGGCCGAGGCAAACGTCAACCGCTACGCCCTGTTCATCGAAGAGGCCGGTGGTATGGAGAAGATCCATGACTGCCAGAACAACGCCAACGAGGAGATCTACATGAAGGCGTACAACATCATCGAGAAGTACTTCTCTGATGAGGACGAGGCTGGTGACATTGATGAGGTTGCTCCTCAGCAGACCCAGACTGGATTCGCCCTCGGCACCACGCAACAGCAGGGCGGATTCAACTTCGCCAACGGTGGTGACTCCATGGATATGTAAAAACAAAAAAAGGACAAAAACAAAATTGACACGCATTTTACTGGGAATGAAACAATGACCCCACATGAGAGATCTGCACCCATTTATTTCAATTCTTTCTCGCTAGATCTACATCTGGCGGTCACCATGCCGCCATGTGGACCCTCAACCTTGAGTTCGTGGAGGCTCTGGGACGAGATTATCACTTCATTATTCCAGGCTTGTCATGACTCAAGAACGGCGGTGTCTAGTGTGGCTTCTCGCCATCCTTGGAGTAACTTTGCGAAGTCTCTTCCGACCCTTTCTTGTTTTGCCCTTCTAGGTTTCCTCATTCTTACCCCCTTCTGTCCTCCCCCTCCCCCTCCCCCATCCCCCTTTTCCCTTCCCGTATCATGATTTCTTCCCCTCTGTTTGACCATCACGAACGATAAAGATTCACCATCATGTACCCCTTCTTATACGTGCCTATTACTCTGGTACCACCCCGTAGCATCCCTCATACACAGGCGTATTTGTTTTCTTTTTTCGGTCTCATTCTTGTTCATTTTCTCTGGATTATCCCTTCGGTTGTGGTTGTTTTGCGGGCTTAGGTGCTTTCCGTCCCCTTATCGCCTAGACAGACAAAAATAAAGGAATACTACTAGGCGTTGGTGTCGGCATACGCAGACGACTGGCTCTGTCCCTGGATGTGGTTTGGAATCCTTAGAGAAACAGGAACAAACTCAGTATACTTTAAAGAGATCCAACAGATCCAGTCATGGTGGATAGTAAACCTAGCCCTGGAAATTGACATATTCTTTTTCACCCCATATATTTACCTACGTTGAAACATCTCATGTGTTCCCTTGGTTTCTTTCCATGTAATCCTGACACGGAGTGAAATACACCGAGCCAACTCGCCCAAAGCAAACTCGTTCTCACACCAAAGACGAATCATATCACACAGATACACAGGTACGCACATTTGTACAACCGTAGAGGCCGTAGGGCATGATGCAAAGGCCTATAACTAGAACCTCAAATATCCCCTGCCTGTGGACTACTGATGTTGAAGCACCCTCTTAAAAGAGCCAGGCAGAACTTCTCAAGCAATTTACTAGGCAAAGGCAGGCCGATGATCTACGGAAGCTGGAATGAAGAAAACAAATGATGTGGGGTAATTTGCGAAGATTTCCATTGTCCGGGGCAAAGGAGGCTTAATGGAGACAAATGTAAATCAAGAAACGAAGAGTAGTGATATCAGGCCAGGGCTACATAGTAGTAACAGTAAGATGAAAAGCCGGGGTGGGTAGTAGAAATGAAGAAAAGCAAAAGGGACCCCGCATATTGAATTGGAAGGACAGAAGGGAGAATCGAATATTGAAGAAAATGACAGTAGATCGTCACACCGAATCGCAATCAATCAGAAAGATAAAAAAAGGTAAATGGCCTAGAATAGCAAATTGACACCTTAATACTGCGTGCCTTTCCCTAATAATTTTCGTCCGAAAAAGAAAAAATATCAACTGAATAGACAGGACATGAATGGTATGATGAAAACAGAAATAAACTAATCACCCATAACTTCGTCCTCGTCCGGATCTAGATTATCGTCCTCTTCCTCTTCCTCCTCGTCATTGTCTTGGTCGATGTTCTCCTCTTCGAGGAGGCCACGGGCTCGTAGGTCCTCCTCTTCGTCATCTTCGTGATGGGATTCTTCTTCAGCGTCGTTCTCATCCTCGTCCTCTTCGTCGTCTATCCGCTCGGCGGATTTGTGCTCTCCTGCTCGCTTGCTGGCGCCATTCTGGGGTTTGCTTTGCGCCAATGGTTGTTTACTTCGTGACGGGGCGGCTCGTGTTGCTGTGCTTCTGCTGGGTATGAGGTCCCCGAGGTAGGCGAGGACTTCACGGTAGTTTCGACCCAGCTGAGACCTGTTCTTGAGCAGTTTCTTCGTCAATGCTCCACTGTCTGATCCGGTGGCGTCGATGATGCGTCCGACGATAGCGAGGACAATCTTGCCGGTCAGTTCGCACAGGCGTTGTTCGGCAATAATGCTTGATCGGAGGCGCTCGTCGTCCAGTATTTCTTCGGGTTCGGACTCTTCGTCGTCTTCATCCTGGGGTGCCTTCCGGATGTCTTCGTCAGATAGCCCGTCATCGTCGGCAGCCCTTATGGGAACTCGGATCTTCCTCGCGTACGTGCGTTCTGCTATGCTATGTATCCTGGCGATGAGTGTCTTTGGCTCACGCCCGATCTCTTGGACAAGACTTTGAGTCTGGAGGATCACATCCTCGTCATTGGCTGCACTCAGTCCAGCATGGCGAAGGGTGCCGAACAGGGTCTGAAGGTCTAGGAGCGTCGTGGCTGCGCAGAACCTGATGTCGTCCAGCCCCAAGCGCTGCTTCATGATAGCAACAAGTGTTGTGGTGAAGATCTCACGCCCCTTAGTCAGAGCCTCGAAGTATGCCGTATTGAACGAAGCCTTTCCTGCATTCAGGGCCGTGGTCAATGTCTGCACCTTCCACATGAAGTAGAACAGAAGCGTCCGAATGCTGTTTGTAACCAGTTCACTTTCTGCCTTGGCCAGATCCTCATCATCCTCCGGGTCGCGCAGCCCCCGTTTCATCAGATGCACGAGAGCGTTGAAGGGTGCTTCTGAAACGTCTGTGCGCTTACCCTTTGATCGACCAGAAGACATGGTTTCCAAGACATGCGTACAGTCCGTCACACTGGCAAGGTTGGATATCCGGATCACTGTGTTGACGAGTTCGTTCAGGGTCGCGGGAGATATCGAGCCTCCCTTTGACACGTCCTGCTTTCGTGACAGAGTGCTCAGAGTCTCCACCACGTTGTCCCATAGCTCCTGAATCTTGCCCTCTAGCGCCTCGCGCATATCATCGGAGCTCTTTGCATGAATAAACGCAACGCTGGCCTCGGCCAGGACATCCTGGTCTGAATGGGTCAAGAACTGCTTGTTTATGTCGTTCAACAACGCGGTATAAGCCGTCGCGTCTTTTTGTATATCCTCGATCTTTTCCAGGTCGACGAGATGTTCAAGCCTCAAGACCGCAAATGCCGCCTCCGGTACGGAGCCGTACTTATTCAGCAGCTGTGGAATGATCTGCGCCAGGCTGTGCGAGATCTCCTCCTGCAGTTCTGGGATCTTGTCGGTCAATGCTTTAACTTTCCGGCCCCTCTTATCAATGTCTGACTTGGCAATCTCAAGGACGCGCAGTTTAACTGCGCAGCACAGTACTTCCAGAAGTATCACTTCCTGACCTTCTTGCATCTTGTACGATTTCCGGACCACAGCAGCAGTATCATCCTCGCTGGGGTCCTCCGGGATCTGAGAATGGTCATAGAGAAGGTATCCTGCCAGAGACTGCCAGTGAGCAAGGTCGGTGAGATGGGGATAAATGGCCTCCGTGGCAAGAACGAAACGTGTGTCCATCGGAGCACCCGAAAGCGCATCTCGTGGCGCCACGGGTTCCTCGGCGCTTTCATTCTCGAGATCATCGTAGGCTTGGAGAATATCCGCTAGGCACTTGAACTTGATCCAAGAGCGCTTGGGGGACTCGAAATCGTCCTCATCTTCATCACCGAAGATCTCACCAGCCTCCTCTGCCATCTCTTCCATAGCGGAGTCGAACACATCCTCAACATTTGCAACGAAGAAGCGACCAGCCGCTTTACGGATCCGGGGTTCGGAGTCGAAAACGAGCTTGCCGACCGTATCCACATCAGCCGGTTCAATCAACCCAGCATCGCGAATCAGGTCAAGCAGCTCGATAGCAGAAGTGCGCACAGTAATCTCAGCATCGTGGGCAGCCATTTCTACCAGGCGTTGGCGGAAACGTTCCGTGAACGATCGAAGGCCCGCCATGTTGTCTTTGATCTCATAGAGGGACTTGAGCTGCTCAACTACCACTGCACGCGATTGGCCCGCGGCGTCAGAGAGGTTCCAACCAAAATAACGAAGAAACTGGCCCTCGAAAAAGTACTCGCGATAGGTGCGCATCCAGCGTCCCAGAGCTGCCAGGCACTCGGCGCGGATGGCGGGGTCGATATCCCGGTAGCGATGGACGAAGACAACGTTCACACCATCTTTCAGGTAGTCGTCGATCATCTCCAGCTTCTTCTCACCCTCCTCGATCGCTGTCTCAATAGCGTCGACTCGGCCCTTGTTCACTGACCGCTTTTTCTTTTCACTTTCCAGCTGTTTGCGGGACGTGGAGACAGTGGTGTTGACCTCCCGCGCAATATCACAGAAAGCATTCATCGTGGCCAGGGAGACAACGGTAGCGGTGTGTCTGAAAGGCCGGCATCCGGAAGAGGACAGTGACGAGATCCAAACTTGGATGTTCTCGAAAAGGTTCGGATCGCTGTATAGCACGGACGAGTGGTGCAGGGTTTGGATCAGGGTCATGATGAAACTCTCCAAAACGGGGTGGAAAGACCTCAGTTTCCTGGACTTGGAGATCAAGGGGTACTCGGAAATCCCTAAAGTTTGGTACTGATTTGCTAAATCACTCACACGGTGCGGGGCGTGGTCGACATTCTCAATATCAACAGTCGTCACTTCTAGATCAGTTCCCGAGCATTTCAGCATGAAGTTAACCATGTCGCACACTGCCTCCTGCTGCTCTTCTTGATAATGCGTAAGCCACTCCGCCGCAACCGTTTCGACGGTCCGTCCCTTGCCAAAGACCTCCGCTAGGAACGAAATCCGTGTCAGCTATAGCATTTACGCCAAGGGATCAATTGGAGTAAGACACCTACCATAGAGACCGCCCTCGCGCGCAGCCATGGTGAGTCGCGCTTTCATCTGCCTGGGACGCGAAACCGGTTTCTTTCCGTTGGCAGCGGGCCGCAGGGCCAGGCGACTAGGTAGGCCGTTGCCAGCAACCTTGGGTTTCTTCGCGGTACGGGACTTGGGCTTCGGTTTTGATGAGGACGACTGCTTCTTGGCAGCTGCTTTGCGCGCAGCCCGCTTCTTCTCGCGCAGTTCCTCTTCGTCGGGATCTTCGTCGCCGGACTCATCGCTGTCTGACTCGGACGCGTCCTCGTTGCTCAGTTCATTGTCATCATCGTTATCATCGCCAGTCGTGGTGCGCTTGCGCTTAGCCCCGCCTGCGGTCGCACCATTGCTGGCGCCAAAGCTCTGGGAGTACAGCTCTGGTTTTCGCGTCACGCGACCCGACTTCCTCCTGTCTGTTGACGGGGAGGCATCACTCTGGGTCTGGTCCGGCTGAGGTGTTGAGAGGGGCGACTCGGCTTCCATATCGTCTGTCTGTCGGGGAAAGATATTATATCACTGTAAGTCGGAAAAACGGTCAGTCGGGATCCAACGGAATTCATGGGATGGATGGTCTCAGAGGATTTCGCAGGGCGTAGAGCGTACTTGGACGTGGGGGTGGGTGATCTGTCAAAGATAGAGATGAAACGGGAGCCGTCAAACGCGATGTTGGGGGGTTTCCCAATGACTTCCGGGTTTGCGCGCGCGTTTGAGGCACGTTGCGGTACGCGGACAGTGGGCGGGGAAGAAACGTGAGAAATAGGATAAATCAATTCTAAAGGGAAGCAATTGAGAACATGCGGAAGTCGGGAGTGGGACCCAAGGGATACGGGGAAGGAGAGAGGGAGGGGGGTTAGATAGGACGACGGAAGAGGGACTTTGGGGATCTTGACTTTGGCTCGTTGACGGACGACGCGCTTTGGTGCCTGGCGATGACGGGGAGCCAACAGGCGTGGCAGCCTCAGGCGACAAACTCCGCTTTCTGAATAATACAAAAGCCAGTCCCCGTGACTTTGTATGGAGGATGTAAAATGACAGGCGGAAAAGAATTAAAAATTAATTACTGAACTACTCCCAAATGGGGAAGGTACACGCTTGGCACTGGCGAGCAGGTGACCAGGTGACGGGACCAACCCTAGCCCTGGCGCAAGCCCCAAAGCGGGAAGTGCGGAGGAGGAAGTAATCGATGCCGTAATGGAAACCACGGGGGCTCCATCGCGACTTCCTAAAAAAGACGCGATTGAAGGGCCAAGAAGTGCCAGACCATCAAATTCCAGTCATCTCCATCAAGACCCCGCCTTGATGCTGATTTTGCGACGCCATTGAAGTCTGGCGATCCTCGATCTTCTCTCCGCGCAGTAGCACAGCCCATCAGCTGTTCCTTTTGCCTGGCGATAGTCCACTCCAGGTTCCCTCCCTTCCCCCCCCCAACGTCTGGCCCGGACCTGGGGAAAGCAAACATCGTCACCCCCAGCTCCATTTCATCATCTGGTTCTCCTCTCACGCCGCGATGAGCAACTGCTCGACCATGCTGTTAAAAGCCAAGCATTCCGTCTTCGTCTCGCTCTTTTCCTTCTTCCTCCACCCATAAAATATCCACCTTCAATTACTCACTCTCTCTCTCTTTTCCTCCCTCTCTCTATCCTTCTTCTACTTTTCTTCTTGTGTTGTTCATGTACTTCACAAAAAATCTGCAACCATGCCGATAAAGTCTCCCTTTGAGTCCTCCATCGCAAAGCCTGGTCATGGCAAGGTGGTTCTCTCTCTCCTCCCACCAGCAAATCCCTCTCTCACGACCCTCACCTATAAATACCCTCTCAAACTCCTCACTCGTGTCCCCGGCTTCGTTCCGCAGAACGCCGCTCTTTCAAAATGTCCCTCCAACCCCGTCCACCTCTACCTTCTCACCTACGGCGGAGGCCTGCTACCAGGCGACCACATTTCGGTCTCCATTACCCTCGAAGCTCACACCCGTATGGTCGTGACAACACCACAAGGGAGCACCAAGATTTTCAAAACTGAGCCCATCAGCATGAAGGGCCACCGCAGCACTCTCAAACACTCTCTCTCCGACAAGAGTCGGCAAACATTAGACGTGCACGTTGGCGAGGGTGCTGCCCTCTGCTATCTGCCAGACCCAGCTGTGCCATACAAAGACAGTCGCTATGAGCAAGTCCAGACCTTCACTGTCGACGGTCTAAATAAGAGCAGTCTTTGCATTCTCGACTGGGTGACAGAGGGCCGGACGTCCCGTGGTGAGAGCTGGGACTTCCATCTCTGGCGAGGCAAGAACGAGGTATGGACTACAACAACAGACGGGAAGGGAGCACCACCAAAGAAGAAGCTGCTGCTCCGGGACTCGCTCATTCTCGATGACGAGGTTGACGTGGCCCTTCTTGACAATGGAGTGGACACATGCCACCATAGTGATCTGTTACGGGAGCGTACCCGACCGCACGGGGTCGTGGGGACCTTGATTCTTTACGGGCCAGTCTTTGAAAAGCTCGCGTCTTTCATCATGGACCGGTTCTCCTCGCTACCGAGGATTGGCGCAAGGAATTGGGCCTCCTCGGCGCCGGCCGCTATGGAGTCCACGCCCAACTATGATTCCCAAGTGACATTCACGGCAGCACGGGTGCGTGCCGGGTTTGTGCTGGTGAAGTTTGGCGCGAAGGAATTTGCAACGGCCAAGGATTGGCTGGGTGGGATTCTGCGCGAGGAGGGTACGGTGTTCCGCGAGTTCGGTGAGGAAGCGTTATTTTGTATGTGACTCCCTATTCACATAGGGGTCTTATTTTTCATACATACTACGTCCTTCTGCTCGTCCCTCGGGAGGGACTAGCCAGTTATCTTTTCTGTTATTTTTTACTATCTTCATAGATAGATGATACCCGGATCACGTATCCCCCGAAACAGACATGTTTCCAAATCAAACAGTTACCTTTTTTTTCCACCAAAAGAACGCAGTCCAAAGTAATCCATCCACGGAAGTTTAATAGAAGTCATTAGCTCAGACTTTGATCCAAAACTATCAGAAGTTGTTCTTCACTGATCTATTCACAATCAGCATCATCTAGTACTCTAAGTGTAGTACTAGTACTTCCGCAGCTATCTAGTAAACCAACCGACCAATCACCCCCCAGATTTCCCCTCAACAACTGAATAGTAGCTAAACCTAAACCAGACCTCCCCAAAAGAAAACTGAATCAATACTGATCCCAAAACCATCATGTGGGTATCTACCTAGCACAAAAAAAGAAGAAACCCAGAAAAAAACGCCATCTTTATCATCATCGTCTAGTAGTAGAAAGACCATGCATCACACCAGGTGAATAGCGTGGGAGGCGATCATTGCATGCGATCGATGTATGTGAGAAAAAGGAAAAAAAAGAAAAAGGAAAAGGAAAGGAAGAAAGAAAACCGAACTATTTACAATCAACTCCACCAATCCGAGATTCTAGGCCGCCAATCCTGACGAGTGGCGCTGCGCAGATCATCCACGTTCAGATAGTCGATACCTTCGCGGACGAGTAAGCTCCAGAGGTGGTTGCGTAGACTCCGTGGCCAGGCGGGTACGCCCCAGTAGCGGACTTTAAGGCCGCGACGATGAGCGGCGCGGATCTGGGCGCGGATCTGATCGACTTGGCGCTGGGAGAGCCGGAAGGACCAGGGCATGCCGATGGATTTCTTGAAGGAGACGGAAGCGTAGTAGCTATTGGTCCAATCAAAGGTGTCGGGGCCGATTCCTGCGTCGGAAATGCCGGACAGGCCTTGACCGACATTCTTGGTGGCGCGGGTGGCTATCCCTGTGTCTTTTGTGACTTCGGGGGGATTTGAGAGGGAGACGCCATCATCATTGTCGTAGTCCTCGGTGGTGGTGATGTTGTCGTCGACAAGTTTATCGAGTGGTGCATCGAAGAAGATATCGCGGTAGGTGGTGTTGGCCGTGACTAGGTTGAAGGGGGTATTGCCGGTGCCGACAACGGTTATGGGGCCCGGAATGATGTCGGTGCCGTTGAAGAAGGAAAGATAGCCGCGCTCGCGGAGCGGGGCGAGCTGTGCATGCACGTAGTTCCAAGTTTCTTGACCGTCCGTTTTAAAGTCGATCAACAGGATTAGGGTTTGCGAGGGATCCATGTCGAAGACGCCTTGCGGCGGACTGTCGCGCTGAGGGTGGAGGTCGGTGATGGGGTTTTGCTGCTCGAGAATGCGCAGCAGCGGGTTGATGTACAGGTTGCGCAGAGTTCGCTGGGGCGTCAGCGCAGACATGGTATGGCCGACGTAGAGGTCATCTTCGACGAGCCACACATCGGCCTCCACGCCGGTACAACCAGCCTGCAGGGCAGAGAACAACGGCACGGGGCGCCAGTAGTCATTGTGAGAGTGGCATCCCACGGGGACGATATCTCTGGAGATGTCTGTTGGCCAATGCAGGATGTCCGCGGATGGGGAACGCTGGTCGCTATGACGCCACCGCTCGATGGCACGGTCGAATTCGTCGGGGAAGAAGGAGACGGCGATGCTGCAGGCGATGGAGATGAACTGGACGACGCCCCTAAATCGTTGGAGGTGAGTTGACGGAACACTCACCCATTAGGGGAAGAGGTTGAGGGAAGGTGGGTGGGGGAACTCGACTCACAGCATGACGAGGAGTCCCAGTAGAGGGTAACACAAGCACCGCGACAATGATTCGATTCTTTGATATTGTCGCGAGGAGGAATGCCAGGCGGCAGTGGGAGTGGCGTTGTTGGCGGAGGCGAGCAGTGGGCGAGCGTCGGCGGGCTGGCGGTGATGCTTCTTTTGTTTCTCCCGCGGCGATAAGTAGGCGGCGATAAGAGCAACGATTCCCCGCATACCCCCCGATCGTGGTCGCTTGGCCGTGTAGAATTGGGATGCTTCTACATCAGCATCGTAGGCCGAATCATTGAGGGCATTGCTCGTCTCATAATCCTTGTCTAATGGGAACCGGTCCAATTGACTTTTATCGTCGTGATTGGAGAAGGTGGAATGAGGGTAAGCCGAGGGAGACGAAGAGGCCATACTGGTTGATCCGCTCACTCACTACTTACTCACTCACTCACTCACTGCTAGTCAGGAACCAAGAGGGAGGAAAGAGAGTAGGAGTAGTACTAATAAGTAGGGTAAAATGGGGGTCGCTTTATGGGGGTTTATATTATATATCGGGGGGGGTCAGGCAAATTCCGATAAGTCGAGCGAGAAAGCTGCCCGGACCACCAACGGTCGTCCCATGATTCATTCATTCAATTGGGGAAAGTGCCCTAGAGAAGGAAGGAAGAGGGGGGGTGGGATCCATCAGTTGCAGCCGAATTGCCGCAGGGCCCCGGGAGGAATGTGAGGGTGAAGCGATCTCCACTTCTCAAAGGTAAATTGGTTGTCACAGTCCTATTTAATTTTGATATTCACCGATCAACCATGTCACCCATCTTGATATTCCCTCTTTCTCTTTGCGTGCTGACGACCACACTCAGTATTCGTGTAGACCCTTGTCTTGACACATATCTTTCTCGTTCCTATCCATGGAATATCATTCAGTATTGAAACCTTAGTACAAACCTTCTGTTAGGCCAGAAGAAGTCGGGAACGAGCCAACACGCCCATGTGCGGTACTGAAGCTGACGATTGGTCCGTCCCGACTAGTCTACCCTTCATCCAACCTAAGAAAGTCTTGTTCCTCATACTGCAGTGAATGATAGTGCTTACCTATATGTCAGACACCATTATTTTAAATTACTAGTTTAAAGGGTCCCCTTCTTGTCTAACCTCACCTCATCACAAGCATTCTACGTACTAGTAATAATTACTATATATACAGTAAGGCAATAACCGAAGAAGATGAGACTGTTGCCTAACCACATGGATCATCAGCAAAAAAATGACACGGCCACCACTACCCACTGTGGGACACAAACGTACAGGAGAGAGAGGAGGGGGAAAAAAATAAATCCCGCGGAACAGCAGTGGATGTGGATGGAACCCTTGAACAGCATTCTATGGTGCCGACTTACCCAGAGTGCAGTGCAAAGGCATGAGGTGATCGGGGAATTGATTAGTGCCGGACCAGGACCAGACTTCTCGCACTAAATTGACTAGGCTGCAGGCTGTCTGCAGCGGTTGCAGAACAACAAGTGGTCCAACACACTGCTACTACTAGTACTACACAGTAGGGTTCATACTGGATGTTGCTAGGATTTATAAACCTAGAGGATGATTACTACTTTATAATGTAGCAGTGTGTGAGTGAGACATTTAGCTATGGTCGAATGACAGTGTTGTGTGGCTTTCTAAGTTAGTTACAGTGTAGGGCCAGCGTTGCATCGCATTTAACTGGTGCTTTATATCCGAGAGGGCAGTCAGTCTAGCTTGCATTTCGGATGTACGGATTACACTCTGAGGCCCGGTGGTCGAATGCTTAGAAATGTAAACTGGGTTGCTCTTTAGTATAATACTATTATTTTTATTTGGTATTAACTATGGTCCCTATTATGGTAAGGTTCATGTGGTTGTTCTGCCCTATGTTGTCCAATCCTACTTGATAGGTCGGAATATATATTCTAGGCTGGCCCTACAAAGGGTCCAACATATATCACAGGTCTATTATACCATCCTTGATCATTTGCACCGAACCAGCCACTTTAGTAGTGATATATGTGGTGCATCTGCAGAAATGAATTATACACAATAACATCATGTAGAAACAACCAAACCCAAACCCGAATAATAATGATCTCTCCAATGTCCTCCGTAGATACTGTAGTACCAAGTTCCCATCCTTATCAGCGGCGATAAGATACGCCGCCCACCCGAAAAGGGAAACCCAAAAAAAGTTTCAACTCCATCTAACCAACACCGATACCCCATCTACCACAACAATCCACATATACAACCACCACAATGCCTCACAAACACAAGCGCCGTGAGAAGGATGCCAAGTAAGTCTCCTACTCATTATATACAATACCAACCCACTAACCAATAACTACAACAGCACCTACGACCTCCCCCCCACCGTAATCGCCAAACCCCTTCCCGTCCGCGATCCCTCCAAACCCACCAAAGGCAAAGGCAAAGGAGGCAAAGGAGGCAAGGGCGGCAAACCACAAACACCAGCCAAACCCACAAATAAAGCCATCGGGGAACGCAAGGTCAAATCTAAATCCACCTCAGAATGGGCCGACGACACTCCGCGCGCATTCCGCCACCTACTACAACTTCAGCAGAAGCAACAAAACGGCGCACAGCAGAAGAAGCGTAAACGTAACGGGATTAACGATTCCGATTCATCAGACTCCGACGAAGATGTTCCTCAAACAAACAACAAGAACAACAACAACAACAACAACAACAACAAGAAGAAGAAGAAGATGGCCGCTACAACCACTACCACCACCACACCCACCACTACAGAAAGCTCGCAAGCCGACGAGAAGACAGTAAAACCGCAAATTCTGCCTGGAGAAAAACTCTCCGACTTCGCGGCACGCGTCGATCGCGAAATGCCCCTCTCCAACATGTCGCGCAGCACGAAACCCTCCGCGACAGATGTGCCCAAGATCCGCGAAACGCGGGTGACGAAGCATGAGAAGCATCTGCTACGACTGCAATCGCAATGGCGGAAGGAAGAATTGGAGATATTAGAGAAGGAGGCGGCGGAGCGGGAAGAGCGCGAAGAGGAGATGGAGGAGCAGTTGCGGCTGTGGAAGGAGTGGGAGGCGGAGGGAGGTAAGAGGAAGGCGAAGAAGAAGGGGGTTCAGAAACAGCAGCAGGCGAAGGTGGAGGCGGATCCGTGGGCAAAGTTGAAGAAGGAACGGATGAATAAACAGATTAGTCCGTTGGATGTGGTGCAGGCGCCGCCACAGTTGACGAAGCCGAGAGAGGTGTTTAAGGTACGGGGAGGCGCCAAGGTGGATGTTGCAAATGTTCCTGCTGCTGGTGGAGCGACGAGTTTGAGGCGCAGAGAGGAGTTGGCGAATGAGCGGAGGAACATTGTTGAGGAGTATCGGAGGTTGATGGCTGAGAAGAGGAGGGGATAATCTCCGTTTGTCTATTTGTCTATGAGAGGTTGCATTGAGGTATAGATGGAGGATGCATTGTTGTAGATAAAAACTACCAATACCCCTAGAAGAAGATTTTGAAACACGTCTGAAAATGCTTTTTTATATATACAAGATACACATCATGTCTAAGTATGTCCCAGATATCAAAAAGGAAAAAGAACAAGAACACCAATGCTCACTCTACTCCTGCTGCAAGGACTTAACGTAGTCGGCCGCCTTGGCCTTGATCTCCTCGACCATCTTGTCATTTCCACCCTCAGCCGACGCCAGCTTCTCCTCAAAGGAAAGCCACTTCTTGAAGAAGAATTTCGCCTGCTTAGGCCGAACCTTCTTGCTGGCCTCAACGGCGGCGGCAGCGCCACCCTTCTTCGTGTCGCGGATGCCCAGGACCCGCTCGAACAGACGGCGGACCTGCTCGGCATCGCCGTTCTTGATCTCCAGATCCAAGAGGATGTTCCAGAGATCGATCTTCTTGGGGAACGAGGACAGCAGACCCTCGAACACCGTGCGACCACGCTCGATGTCTCCGTTAGCCGAGCGGAACTCCAGCTGGCCGAACTTGGACGTCAACTCGACGTGGGTGTGGGAAGGCAGGGACTGCAGGGCGCGAGGCAATAGCGCACGAGCGCGCTCGGGAGCAGCCATGGTGTCGAACAGGAAGCTGGCGTAGTTGACGAAGAACTTGGGGGATCCGAAAACCTTCTTCTTGAGAGCGGTCTGAAAGAGGTCATCCGCTTTCTGTAGGGGACTCCGTTAGCATGCGAAAGAGAACTCAGAGCACATGTGGGTGAAACTTACCTCGTTCTTGCCAGACTGGATGTAGATGCTGATCGTCCGCTCGTAAACCTCCTGGGTATCGTTGTACTGGCACGCACGCTTGAAGACGTCCTCCAGAGTGTCGTCGTTGCCGTAGGTGTTCTCCAAGTTGAGCATGGCCACCCAGATGTTCAGCTTCTCGGCGTCCTGGCCGATGGTGATGGTGCGCAGAGCACGCTCGGCAATCTCACGAGCCTTCTCGACCTCACCCAGCTCCAACTGGAAGGCCATGTACTGAAGCCACAGGAGAGAGGAGTCGGGCTCACCGAGCAGTAGTCGTTCGTAGTCGGCAACAGACTGGGGTCCGTTAGCATCCAGATCACCGGTCCGGTCGACCTGGATCTCGGGCTTGCGGTTCTTCTTCTTCTTGGGTCGCGAGTCCTCCTCGTCATCCGAGTCTGAGCGGGCATCAGCCTCATCGTCGTCCTGGTTGTTGCCGCTCCAGTCGAAACCACCAGCACCGAGTCCGCCATCTTTCCGGCTTGCCTTGGCTGGTGCATCAGTCATTTCCTCGTCGTCACTCTCTTCCTCGGACTCCTCGTCACTATCACCCTCGAGGTCGACACCGCCCATGGAAACGTCACTCTCCTCATCGTCGCTGCCCTCGACATCAACGCCACCGAAGCCATCCAAGCTGACGCCTTCAGAGTCGTCATCCTCCTCCTCTTCGTCGCTGTCCTCCTCCTCCTCATCGAAGTAGGAAGCCTTCAGTCCGAAAGAAATCTTCTCCTGCTTACGGTCGATCTTGAGGATCTTGGCCTTCACAGCATCGCCCTCTTCGTACAAGGTCCGGGCATCTTCCACACGACCCTCAGCCATTTCACTGCGGTGGCAAAGACCGCTGATGTTCTTAGAACCGTCGATGACGACAAAGGCACCGAACTCCTCGACCTTGCGGACCTTACCAGTAACAATCTGGCCAGGCTTGAGGTCGTGAAGCGTAATGGGAGCCTTGTAGTTGGGGTCCAGAACAGACTCCTTCAAGCTCATCTGCAGCTTGCCTTGCTCTGAGTCGGACACAGTAACACGGCCCTTGACCAATTGGTCGGCCTGGAAAGAGTCCTTCCACTCCTTGAGGTAGGAATCGGAGAGGTCAGAGATGCGGACATAAGCAGTAACATCGCGGCCGACCGTAACGAAGAGTCCGTTGTCTGCAACCCTCCGGACGAAACCCCGAACAATGTCATTCACCTTGAGTTGCTTGATGGAGGTAACCTCCTTGTCCTGGACGGGCAGGGAGGAACTGAGAACCTTGGACGGGCGCAGAGAGAGGGAGATCTTCTTGTTAGCCTTGTCAATGGCAACGACACACGCGCGGAGCACTTCGTTCTTCTGGTACACAGTAGGATTGGCCTTGCTGAAATCATCAGCCATATCAATCAGATCAACAGCACCAACAATCGATTTGCTGAGCTGCATAATGACCTGTCGTTCAGTGACCTTAGTGACACGTCCCGGCAGAACCATTCCAACCGAAACATCTTCAAAGACGAGCTTATCGGAGCGCTGCTTGGCGGACAGATCCAGACGGCCCTTGTCAGCGTCTACCGCGGAAACATGAACCTTCAGCGCAGATCCCACGGGATAGTGCTTCTCCACATCGGCAAGAAGGGACAGGTCATCGGAAGCGTCCATAAGACGCAGTCTGCCGCGAACATTGGGGGACAAGTTGATCCAAAGGCAGTCATCGGCCACGTTGTTGACGAAACCAACCCATGTCGAGCCAACCTGGACCTGCTCCAGGTTCAAAGGACTGGGGTTGGCAGCCTGCAGGAAGCTTGGCTTCACAGACAGCTCGAACACCGGGAACTTTCCGGTCCGGTGACTGATAGGAAGGAACTTGTGATTGCGAGCGTCGTGGATACCCAGAATCCTGGCTGAGATAACCTGCTTGGGACGGAAGAAGCGCAAGGGCTGCTTGCGATCCTTGATGTCCTCCCACTTGTCAAACACCTCAGAGACGTCGATGCGGCCCTGGATGTTGTCGGCCAGCTGAACGTTGACCTGAGTCGCTCTGACAGACACGACCTTGCACTTTGTGACCCTTCCGAAGGTGAAATCAGACATCGACTTGATGCCCTCGTCAATAGCGTTAGCGACGGCATCGTCAGTAGGGGTGGGTTCGGGCTTGGCGGCAGCCTTCTTCTTTGCACCAGCATGGGTAGCCTCCGAAGGGTTCATGCTCAGGATGAACCGCTTAAAGTCTGCGTCGACCGAGTGAACGGTGGCGGTGACGACTTGACCCCGAGCCATGTCATAGTCCGGCTTGTTGACATTCTCATCACCAACAAGTCGCTTAGGAACGAGACCAATAACACCACCCAAGAATTCAACGAAGACACCGTTCATGGTGATGTTGCGGATGAAGCCCGTAACGTCGGCACCTTCCTTGAGGTCCTCAAACTTGGACGGGATTGAGCCGTGCTTAGCGGCCTTCTTCAGGCTCTGTCTACCCGTTACCCTGATGAGGCGATGTGCGCGCTGAATGTCGATCACCATCAATTCATTGAGCTTCTGCCCAACACGGATCTTTGAAAGGGTAGAGGCCTGCTTCGAAGGGGAGCCATCAACCACATGCTCAACGTTGAGTCGAGCCACAAGGCCATAATCATCCAACTTAAGAAGCGTATCGTCGGCCGACTTCTCGAAAACTGTACCAGAGACAAGCATGCCCGGGTGAATGTTCTCAAAAGCCTTCCTGTAAGCCTCGGTGAAAGTCTCGGGATCCTTGCAAGAGACAGCAAGCTTCTCACGAGAGGCATCCACGCTCAAGGCGTGAACATTGACCACTTGACCGAGTCTGAAGTGTTGTGAAGGGTCCTTGATGTATGCCTCGCTCATTTCCGACACAGGAAGGAAGCCGCGGATTGAACCGTAGAACTGAACCACAGCACCATGGGGTTGAATCTTGATGATGGTTCCCGGGGACTGGGTGCCAGGAGTGATTTCTTCATAGTCCTTCCAGATCGCAGATTCGCTGTTCAACAAGCTCTTCTTCAGCGTCAGACGGATCTGGCGCTTCTCCAAGTTGACCGACAAGATCCTGGTCGACACCGTCATACCCTCGCGGAACTTCTTCTCGGGGAATTGCAAAGGAGTATCGGCGAAATGCATGGACGGAACAAGACCTGTAATGCCATCTGCAAGGACAACAATCAGGCCATCGACACCGTTGGCTCCGATGAGGAGCTTCTCCACCTTTCCTTTCACAACTGCACCCAGGGTCACGTCTTCGACCCGGAGGAAAGGCTGATCAATGACCTTCTTCTCGAAAGACAGGAGGTACAGGTTATCAATGGCACTGTATCCGACCACTCTTCCCTCGTGCACCGATTCAACTCGGAAGGGTCCAAGCTCAGGCGAAATGGTTTCTACCTGTCCATCTGCAAGTCGCGACACGTGAACGAAACCGAGATGCTTAGTTGAACCGATCTGCACGTACACACCGAGACCGGGTTCCACCTTGACCACCTTAGCTTCCGGTACAATGGCAGAGATGGCGGGTGCGTCGTCCGATGAACCGGGGCCGCCCTCAGTGGCAAATTTGGCGACGTGGTCGAGTAGCGAAAATCCAACCTTGTATGGCTCAGCGGAGGGGAAAGTGCAGACGAGACGGCCCTTGATCTTGGCGCCAGTATTGTATTTTTTGGTCAGATCGTCCTTTCCTGAGCTTCCTCCAGATTGCACCAGATCGACCGTGGCATCCAGCATGCCCATGATCTTTCCGGCCATGCCGGTTGACGAGACATCGGTCAGAAGGATTTCCGCGGCGGTACCTGGGAGGAACGAGGTGATCGTAGGAGCTGTGCTGAGGTAGTGTGACTTTTTGATAGAACCGGCCGACTGGAGGTTGGCGGACAGCTTGATGACACTGCCATTAGCGTTCTGGCCAGTGACCATACACAGAAAGACCGAGCCTTCCTTGATAGTGGAAGGCTGAGTCTTGGGATCAACTTCCTTGGAGGACATGAACCCCTTGACCTCACCTCCCTCAAGACCCAGGTCCATAACCAAACCATGATCCTCCACACTGACAACTGAGGCTTGAACGGCGGAGTTGACGACCAGATCCGATTTCGAAAGCCCCGAGTTGGCCTGTCTTGGGTCAACTGAAAGCTCAATGCGCTTCCTGCTCTTAGCACTGGCATCGGCGGCATTGCTTCCCGCGGATACAACGTATGCTCGCAGATACTGGCCAAGGTAGAAGTATTTGTGAAGGTCTAGCGAGTCGTCGTCCTCATCATCTTCCTCCTCGTCGCTTCCGTCATCCTTGAGAATCTTCTCAATCTTCTCCTCCAGCACCTTGGACACGGATGTTAAAGGCACGTAACCGGTGAGATTGTTGGGCAGGGACAGTCCGATGTCGTGAGCGTTGATACTCGAAACCTGTCCTAGTACCATAGTTCCCGGTACAATACGCTAAATCTGTAAGCTTCAAGAAGCGCATGTATTGCTTCACTTGCCCTTCAAAAACATACCTTGAAATTGAGACCCTCAATGCGAACATCTTTCTTCTCCGTCGCATCCTTCTCTGCATCCTTCTTTCCCTTTGTCTTCTTCTTGCGAGATTTCTTCGCGGCAGCCGATTTCGTATCGTCGCCGGCGTCTTCCATATCTGTATCTTCCATTCCATCATCTCCAAAGTCGCCGGCAGACGGCTTGGAGCCCTTTTGCTCGAAGAGGACATCTTTCGTTGCCTGGATCTGGATCTGCTTGCGTTCGAGAGGCGTCAAAACGCTTCCACCACCACGAGGGAAGGAAGGTTCGTCATCGCGCAGGACGGAGAGTTCCGAAGCCTTAGGCGCAGAGTTTGCGTCGGGTTTGGGATTGCTATCATTCGATGCGATTTTCTGTTTCTTCTGGTCCTTCTTGCGATCTTCTGCTCCGACACGGACACGCTTCTGAGGTTGGCGGGCAGATGCCTCCTCTGCGGCATTGCCCTTGCGCTTAATTGGAGCCATCGTGGCAAAAGTGTGAAGTGTCCGAAACGAAGGTACGGACACGATGAGCTGCTCCAAAGCTCCCAAATCGTACTTCTTCAATGCAAGAAAAATTAAAATTTCTGGACGGAAAAGCCGATCATCATTCTGACCGCCTTCTGGTTTGGGGGGTACCGCCCATTCTCGAACCAACTTAATGGGTAACTTCACCGCCTACTGGTTTCAGTCAGGCGCGACACGAAAAGGCACGTCGACACGAGACCTTTTCCTTTTTTCCGCGCCTGGAGGACATCATCCATGGCCCCCAGCTCCACTCGCCATGCCTCCATTTGCCCTCTAACCTCGTTCTTTTTTACCCCCCCTCTTCCCCCCTCTCCCCATGCATTTGTTTCTGTAGAATGTCTGTGTGTTTATACTTGTCTGTGGAGCACAATGGATGCCAGGCATGATCTCCCCGAAGTACCTCGGTCTGAGCCCGTCTTTCCTCCTACAACATCACAGGAGCTTCCCTCCTCGCCGCCCTCGATAGCGTCCGACGTTGGCTACCGACGCAAGCCCAAGAAGCCTCCCCCGGTCACTCCACGATCATTTAGACGGTTCTTCACGCCTCGTTCCATGCTGGATGGCGGGAACAGTGCAAGCTCAGTGAGAACCAATCGCCAGGCTTTGAAAGCCCTCAGCTCCCCTGCCGTCAATCGCCTTGGGCCCGCCTTTACAAGGACATCCAAAGCCGTCGAACATAGACCAGAAGCACCTGACTTCACACGTACACCGACCCGGAAACGGAAGCTTTCATTCTCTTCAATTGGCTCTCCCTTGCAGTCGTCACCTCTTAAAAAAGTCCAGGTCCGCCATGCAGTCCAGAATGACGAAGAAGTAGCTGTACCAGTTCGAGACATCCAGCTCAAGATCGAATCGAGGGATGATGATGTCAAGCCAAATGCTGTTACAAAACCTCCTCGACAGGTTCTTCCAGTTCGCCGGTCGCAGGCCTTGCAATCCTCCGGAGCGTTGTATATGCGAAGCCTTTCGGGGTCTCGGGCCAATAGAGTGACTATGCGGTCTAATTCAGGAGCTGGTAGGTTGTACATCCCCCTATGTTTGTGACGGTATACTCATAATCCATGAAGGCTGGCAGGACATGACGTCAAACTTCTATTCTCGACCAAACGACAGCCACAACTGTGCGAATATTTCCGGTGACCGCTACGTCTTGCCGTTCTGTACTGCTGCATGCAATAGTGGGTGACAACAGGATTGCTTTCTGTCCGTGTGTACTTACTAACCGGCTCCACAGCCAATAGTCTTATTGCAGTAGGAGATGAGGAGGGAGGCATTCGGTTGTTGGATTCTGCCAAAGACGACAAGAGCGGCTTTTCTCGAGCATATCTTACGTTCCGCCCACATACGAACTCGATCATGGACCTGCAGTTTTCGTCCGATGATATGCTACTGGCGACAGCCTCTGGAGACCAAACAGCACTGGTCATCGATATGGCCACTCAGACGCCGGTGTATTGCCTATCCAACCATGTGTCCTCCGTCAAGCAGGTTCAGTTCCAACCGGCGGCCAATAACAAAGTTCTTGCGACCTGCAGTCGTGATGGCAATGTCAATATATGGGATCTCCGATGCAAAGGGTTCGACAGACCGAGCCTGCAGGCGCGGTGCTCGCTTGAATCTGACGCAGAAACGACTGCTGGCTCCATCACCTCCAAGACCGCCTTCCCTCAGGTATTGAGTACTATTCACGGCGCTCATGCGTGGACGTCGCAAACGGGCATGTCACCAGAGAAAATGGAACCCCAAGTTCGCCGTTCAGATATTACCGTTACCTCTTTGGCCTTCCTTCCCCAAGGTCGCGAGAACCTCTTCGTCACGGCTTCGAGCACGAACTCCTGCGTGAGGCTGTGGGATCTGCGTACGGCACACAACAACCGCCGTGGCCGTCCAGTTCTTCCTTTGGCCACTACCAGACAGCCGGATAGCCACATCAAGTACCGGGGCTTTGCTGTCACATCAATGGCCTTGGGCGGAGACGGCGCAAGACTATACACGCTGTGTCGGGACGGCACTGTGTACACCTACTCAACGTCACATCTGGTCCTGGGAAGTGCCCCCGAGCTTTCTCTGAACAACAATCGACCACGTCGCACCGGTGGGTCTGACAAGGAAGGGTTAGGACCTTTATATGGCTTCCGTCATCCGCGTCTTCAAGTTGCAACCTTCTATGTTAAAGTTGGGGTTCGCAAAGCCACCGGTGACAAGCCAGAAATGCTAGCTGCTGGGAGTGCCGATAACTGTTCCGTCCTCTTCCCAACAGATGAGCGATTCCTCTCCAATGATCATAAGATAACCGCCGAGGATGATTTCCTTCCCCCGATGCCATCATCAGCCACCCGCTCCGGTCTCCGTCGTGCTTACTCAGGACGAGTAGAAGACACCATCCCCATCTACCAGTCCGGAACACCCCTAGTCGGGGGCCATGTGAAGGAAGTCTCCGCCGTGTCATGGACCGCCGATGGCGAACTTGTTACCGTCAGCGATGATTACACCGCTCGATGCTGGCGCGAAGGACCTGAAGCCCGAGACCTCAGAACCAGTGGAGAGGCAGAAGGAAAGAGATGGCGCTGTGGCTGGGCGGAAACTCCAGACTCCTATGATGACGACGAAGAATGACCCATTTGAAGGACTACATAATTTTTTCGTTTCCCTTTTTTTTTTTTTTTTACGGCTCACCGGGTTTGCATGCATTGTATGGCGTCGAAAGAAGCATAGATGTTTGATTTAGCGGGGTGTTTTGGATTTTTCTTGTTCCCCCTTTTAGGTGCTCTGCTGTTTTGTGTTTGATAGCGTCGGGTTTTATTGCATGGCAACGAGGACTTCGGTTTGTTCTTATTGTGGTTGAACATTGCTGCTGCTGCTACTGCTGCTGCTTCAACATATGTTACGTGCTTTGAAGTGATTAATACACCGTAATAAGTCGATTCACCACCCACCCTTGGGCATTGCCACAAGTAGCATAAACCTACAACAAGAAGACAAGACCAGGACAAACATTATACGTCAATACTAGTTTAATAAGGTAGTAAATTTGTACTCATGAACATCTTATTATACTTTTTCTCTCTCAGCCCTCGCCACACAAAGGTCTAGAAGAAAGCAAGGAGAACTCCCCATACGTAAAACAAGACTAGATAAATTAGTGACCGTGGCCATCGTCCTCCTGCCTCTCAGGGTCCAACTTGATCATGGTATCAATACGCATAATGGCGATGCAAGCCTCGACAGCACTCTTGAGCTGCTTGATCTTACCCATGCTGGGCTCCAGAACACCGGCCTTGAGGGCGTCGTGAACACGGCCCTTTGTTAGGTCGAGACCGTAGTTGCGGTACGTCTTCTTCTTGGCGATGGCCTTCTCTTCCTCGTTGGCGTCGCCGTCCTGGACGCGCTGAGAGAGAGCGTGGCGGACACGGAGCTGGGCGACGAGCTCGGAGGAGTCCTTGGCAGCGTTGACGGCCAAGGTCTTGGGGACGGTCAGAAGGGATTGGGCGAATTCGCCGATGGCGAGTTGCTCACGAGAGCCCTGGAGGGGGTGGAATTAGTGTTGATCTGGGGATTAGAATTGTTGAAGGAGGAAACGTACCACTGTGACTGCGAACTCTTCGAGGTAGATGTGAAGAGCCGTCTCGACGGCACCACCACCGGGTACGATGCTACCGCTCTCCAGAGTACGCTTGACGGCACACAGAGAGTCGTGTACGGAACGCTCCATCTCGTCCAAGCTGAAGTCGTTGGGGCCCCGCAGGATGATGGAGGCAGAGGTGTGAACCTTGGTGCCCTTGACGAGGATACACTCATCATCGGATATCCGCTCCTGGACGACTTCCTCGGCATGACCCAGGTAGGAAGCCTCGAACTTCTCGTCACCATTGAGATCAGAGAGGGTGTTGATCAGAGTAGCGCCAGTGGCCTTGGCAATACGTCTCAGGTCTTCCTTCTTGCAACGGCGGACAGCCATGGCACCCTTCTCAACGAAGAGCTTGAGAACCATGTCGTCGATACCCTTGGTGGTGAAGACGACGTTGGCACCAGACTTGAGGATCATCTCCACACGCTCGAGGACGATGCCAGATTCTCTCTCACGGATCTTCTCCAGCTGATCGGGGTCGTCGACTGTGATCTGAACGCCAAGCTTCATTCTCTCCTTCTGCAAGTTCATATCCAAGCAAGCAATCTTCGCGTCGGTTATCCGGGTCTTCATGGCCTGGGAAGCGACGGTGCAGTTGAGGGCATAGCCGTTGACGAGAATGGATTCGCGACCACTCTTTCCGTGAGCCTTGAGCAGGTTGACAGCCTTCACGGGGTACTTGACCTCGTTCTTCTGGTTGGTGGTCTTGACCTGTTGCATAGCATCAACGACCATGTTGGCGTAGAAATCGGCATCGGAACCAATGATCTTGCTGGACATGGACGTCTTGGCGATGTTGACCAAGCTGTCCTTTCCAAGCGTCTCAACCTTTGTGGTGATGTTCTCGTTCATGTACTTGACAGCTTCCCTCAGGGCTAGCCTGTAACCGTTAATGATGGTGGTAGGGTGTATGCGGTTCTTCATCAGCTCGTTGGCGCGGCGGAGGAGTTCGGCAGCAATGAGAACGACGGAGGTAGTACCATCACCGACCTAGACTGATATCAGCACCGTGTGTATAGGAAGAAAGGGTATGGAGCACAATGAGCGGGGAGCCGGACCTCCTTATCCTGTTGTTGGGCCAAATCCACGAGAATCTTTCCAGCGGGGTGCTCGATATCGAGAAGACTCAGAATCGTTGCACCATCATTGGTAACCGTAACATCCTATTAAACCATCAGGGAGCTGCTCTATATTGAACGCGGGGTCGAAAGGTGATGCGTACACCGATATCATCCACCATCATCTTGTCCAGACCGGACGGACCGAAAGAGCTCTTGACAACATTGGCGATGGCCTGCGTAGCAAGAACTACATCGTCATCAGCATCGACCTCCTTGGACGAGGTAATCCATCATTTCATACCGTTCTGCTCCCGCACATCAGCGCCGGTGATTTTCTGCCCCCCCAAGACTGTGCGAGACTGGTTAGTGATAGCTGTCAGGGGAAGGGGATTGGGGGTGGGGGAGGGGACTCACAAAGGGTGTCCGCATTCCGCGGCTGCTCAAAGATGCCTGCCATGATGGTGAAACAGACGGAGATGTAGGAAATAGGGGGAAAGACAAGCTCCGACAGCCAAATGCCTGAAGCCGCTGGACGTTCGCCTCGAATGTTTGCACTAAAAGTTCTGCCGGCCCCGGGCGGTGAAGATTTGCAGATGCATCCCACTTTGACTCAACCCCTCTTCCCGCCCCAGATCTTCCTCTTATCTTCGCCTTCCCTTCGTATCCGGTCCTCCTCTGCTGTTTGCGCGACCGTTGTCTCCCTCTCAACATGGCAAGCCAAACCCCCGCTGACGCCGCGGCCCCTGTCGAGGCCCCCGCCGCCCAGACCCTTCCTGATCGCAGCCAGAACCCCGCCGATGCCGATGCTCCCCAGGGAGAGGTCTCCAAGAACGCCGCAAAGAAGGCTGCTAAGCTGGCCAAGCAGGCCGCCGACAAGGCTGAGAAGGCCGCGAACAAGGGAATTGGCAAGCAGGAGGCGAAGAAGCCCGCTTCCAAGGCTCCCAAGAAGAAGATCGAGGGCGCTGCTCTGATCGGTATTGATGTCGCCAAGGAGGAGGATTTCCCTGGTTGGTACCAGCAGGTCCTGACCAAGGGTGATATGCTTGACTACTACGATGTCTCCGGATGCTTCATTCTCAAGGTGGGTTGTCCTGTTCGCCCGGGAATCCGTCGACGACATGTACTGATTTGCGCCAGCCCGCTTCCTACTTCATCTGGGAGGAGATCCAGCAGTGGTTCAACACTTACATCAAGAAGATGGGCGTCAAGAACTGCTCTTTCCCACTTTTCGTGTCCGAGGATGTGCTGCAGAGGGAGAAGGACCACATCGAGGGTTTTGCTGCTGAAGTCGCTTGGGTGACACACGCGTATGTTTCCTTATCTCTAGAGACATTCTCATATAGACAAGTCACTGATAAACCCCTCTCTGCTACAGTGGTTCCACCCCTCTGGAGAAGAAGATCGCTATCCGTCCCACGTCGGAGACTGTCATGTACCCCTACTACGCCAAGTGGATCAGAAGTCACCGTGACTTGCCCCTCAAGCTCAACCAGTGGAACTCCGTCGTCCGTTGGGAGTTCAAGCACCCTCAGCCTTTCCTCAGAACCAGAGAGTTCCTGTGGCAGGAGGGTCACACAGCCCACCTGACCAAGGAGGGTGCTCACGAGGAGGTTATGACAATCCTCGACCTCTATGCTCGTATCTACGAGGAACTTCTGGCCGTTCCTGTTGTCAAGGGTCAGAAGACCGAGAAGGAGAAGTTCGCCGGTGGTCTCTACACCACCACCGTTGAGGGCTACATCCCCGCCACCGGTCGTGGTATCCAGGGTGGTACCTCCCACGGTCTGGGCCAGAACTTCAGTAAGATGTTCGGTATCACCGTCGAGGACCCCTCCGCCAAGAGCGACGACAAGGAGAAGGCCGCTCCTCTCCACGTGTGGCAGAACTCCTGGGGTCTGTCCACCCGTACCCTCGGTGTCATGGTCATGATCCACAGTGACAACCGCGGTCTCGTCCTCCCCCCTCGTGTCGCTGACACCCAGACCATCATCGTCCCCGTCGGTATCACCGCCAAGACCACTGATGAGGAGCGTAAGAAGCTCTACGGTGAGGTTGAGCGCCTCGTTTCCACCCTCCGCGACGCCGGCGTCCGCGCCGAGAGCGATCTGAGAGAAGGTTACTCCCCCGGCTGGAAGTTCAACGAGTGGGAACTCCGCGGTGTCCCTCTGCGTCTTGAGTTCGGTCCTGGCGAGCTTGCCGGCGGCTTCGTCACTGCTGCTCGTCGTGATGTCCCCGGAAAGGACGGCAAGGCTCCCATCCAGATCTCCGAGCTGTCCACCGCCGTGCCCGCTCTCCTGGAAACCATCCAGAAGGACTTGTACAACCGTGCCGACGCCGAGTACCGCTCCCACCGCAAGATCATCACCAACTGGGATGACTTCACCCCCGCCCTGAACGACAAGAACGTCTGCCTGATCCCCCACTGCTTGACCGAGGAGTGTGAGGACCAGATCAAGGACCTGAGTGCCCGCAAGCACGAGGAGGACTCTGGCGTTCCCCAGGATGCCCGCGCTCCTAGCATGGGTGCCAAGTCTCTCTGCATTCCCTTCGACCAGCCCGAGGGCATCGTCCCCGGCGAGACCAAGTGTACCAACCCCCACTGCACCCGCTTCGCCGAGAAGTGGTGCATGTTCGGACGTAAGTTCATATCCAGATTCCCTACTTTGCTCACCCACAATATATCTAACATAATCATCCCAACAGGCTCGTACTAAACGCAATCTACTACTACTACCGTGTTGGATCCGGATGTTTCAATTCATTTTTTTTTTTTCCTAAAAATTTCTCAATCATCCAGTTTCCTTCCTTCCTATGACTGTTATGACTTTTCCATTCCTGCCAATACAGTTTCACGTTGAGTTCGACATAGGGACCCTAAAAAGAAATCCACGAGCGTCTTCAGAAAAGACAAAGAACAAATAAAAAAAGAAAACAAGTGAAATTCAGGAGTTTAGATGCATACAATTGCATGGATGATGCGAGTTGGGTGGGGCAGATATGATATTCCTTGAGATACCTTTCATCGGTTTACCATCGGGGGAGTCAGATATAGGTCGTTTCAGTAGCTAGCGAGTTGAATTCAAAGAACCATGTTTTTGATATAATCTCTTTTTATTTGTAGTATGATTGTATTATATTATTTTTTTCAGGTGATGACACGGACTGGTTGCCTAGTAGTTTCGCTGGCGAGGAATAGAAAGAAATAGTGAGTGTGACAGAGAAGGATACAGAAGAGTGAGCGCTAGGACGCTTGAAAATGAGAGACGCAGTGTAAAGAAAATATGCGGAATCCATGCCGAGAATAAGGAATGAGTGATGAAAGTGACCGAATAAGAGATGAAAGCTGAATGCCGTATGCAAAGTGAAATGACTGTGGTTTGTATAGAAACGATGAGAGAGCGCGTGGGCGGAGTGTTGAGGGTCACTCGTGGGGTTGTAGGGATCGAAAAGTGTTTGATCTGCATGTGTTTCATGAGACTTTCATATCAGATCAAGGGTGGGAAGGAGCGAATTAACGATTATAGGTTGTAAAAGAGAGTGGACATGATGGTGCTGTTTTCTTTTCGGAACACGACGAGGGGTATCATTGTCAAAGAGGAGGGATATGGGGGTATCAAGAGAGTGGAGGATTAGCAAGAAAGCAGCAGTCAACGAGTCTGCACCCAGTGCGGTGACCTAGAACTGCTGTCCATTTCTGGACGAAGTTCGCGAAGGGATCCGGTCGCTGGAAAGGACGTTTTTGCTGTACGCATTGGGACTTGATTTCCGCGGCCAGTTCATGAGGCGGTAGGCGTTGCGCGGAGTCGTGTCTCTCGCCATGTAGGTGACGTTGTTCTGATCGACACCCTGGATGCAGACGTGCGGTGTCCCGCCAACGCTGGGTAGTTGGATGATTTCTTCGTCGTCGCTGTCGTCTTCTGAGTAGCTGATCTGGCTAAATCTGACTGGGGAGGCTTGTGCGCGCATGCGGAGGACTGATGGGGCACCGCTCATGTTCGTTAGGTTGCCATGGGACGAGTTGGTTCTCATGGATACAGCGCGGCCTGAGTTGCTTGGAGGTTGGCGGAACGATTGAAGTAGATCCATGTAGGTCATTCCCTCCTGAGGGCTCTCCATCTTTTGCTGCTTCGCCTCCCTGTTGCCGAGAACTCCTAGGGAGGGGAGAGGAGCATCAGTGTGCCTGCGTCGACTTGTTGTCTGAGTGGCTCGGAGAGTCGTCACGGGAACGCTCGTGGAGATGCTTCTGCGCTGCTCAGGAGTTCTCTTGTGCTTTTTGAAGGAGCTTTTGCGGATGAGTTTCGAGAATTGTCCTTCTTTTGAAGAGAGGCTCCGTTCCAGACCAGGCGCGGGGCACAATGGCACATGAGGAGTCCTGTCAAAGGATTCCTGAGACGGCGAAGGAGTGAGTGAGGGTTCAGTGGGAAAGGAAATGCGCTGAAAGGCCTCGTGAGAATTGATCTCCCTGACAATAGCATCTTGGAGACTCTCAAAGGTAGGGTGTGGTGTGACCTCTTGGGTCGAAGCAAAAGCCTGCCTGAACATGTCCATAATCTCGATGACTTTGTCGTTGGACGGAGCCGTGGAGGCGATGGATGTTGGTGTTCCCACAGGGAGAGGGCTGTTCATAACCTCCGCAATGCTAGGAGCTTGCTTGGGATCGACAGCACTGGGAGTAGGTGGCTGTATCGCCCGATGTGCAATTTTCGCAGTTGGACTTCCTCGAGCTGCTAGCTTTGTGTTTATAGAAAGGTCTCGGATGTTCTTCTTGCTTCCTTGACGAGGGGATGCTGGAGGAGTGCTCTGTGTATCCTGAAAGGATTCAGTCTCGCTCGTACTGTCACTACCAATAGATAGTGGTAGTGTTGGGCTATCAGGTAGGGGCGTATTGCTCCACTTATCGCCTTGTTTGTGAGCAGGAGGGATGCCCAAGTATCCATTTGAACTCGAAACTGATTCTTTCCTAAGCGCATTGTTCCGTTCAGCCAGCAAGTCAGGGGCAGACCGCTGAGATCGCAGGGAGCTTCTCTGGAAGGCGCCTTCCCTCGAAGAGCCAGGGCGCTCCTCAGTACGCAATTGAGGTACAGAGACCGAACTCTCCGGAGAGGTTGACCGCGCCAACCGCGTGCTTTTCCCCCGTGACTGCGGACGATCCCTAGTATTGTCGACATACCTCTGTGAGCCCTGCTGGGAACGAGGTGGTGTAGCTTGAGAGCGCGAGCTAGTACTGCGGGGAATGGAGCGACTGCTGCCTCTACTCGAGATATTCCGGTCTGCTACGTCTTCCTGATACAGACTTGAGACCGGATGCGAGTAGGCGTTTTTGAGCGCCAGTCCTCTTAAGAAGGTAGCCATGTTCCGTTCGGCTATGTCTTCATTGTATGGTGTGATCGGCGACAAGGTGCTGCTGCTTTGGATGTGATACCGGTGCGAGGAGAACAAAGCATCAAGCAGATCAACGTGCCGGGTGACCTTCCCCGGAGGGCGAGTTGATGCCCGAGATGGAGGCGCATGCGAACGAGAGGATAGGGGCCTTGACTGTAGCTGATCGTGCGTTACTTCACACTGCTCTGCAGGCGTCTGGTCATGAACTCCCGCGGCCATGCGCCGGGATGTCTTCATGTTGGGCAAGTCGTGATCATCGCCTCCTACGCTGCCTGCCCGAGCTTCTTGGCCGTCCAAATTTGCCGGCGAAGATTTCTCCGCATGGAAGAATCGCTTGAAGGCAACCATAATGGTGTCATCAGCTGCAGCTAAACCATATGAATAGATTTGGTATGGCTGTGATGTGTGTGGCAACGCTCAAGTGCGTGCGGAGATATGTTTATGGTAACAATGCGACGAGACTTTCGGACGTTAGAATACGAGCTTCTCGAGGGATGATGATGACGATCAGATCGGAGAAGATGAATGGAGGAAAGGAATGTAATCTAGAGCTGCTGTCATGATAACGTCTAACTCATAACGAAGTCGCTGAACGCAAGAGCACTCCGTACTCGAGAGGATGAAGGAGTGATGAGAAGGAAGAATGACGGGGAGAGGGAGAGCGAGGAAGCTGAGAGAAGAGAAAAGCAGCATCGATGAACAAAGAATGGATCGTCTACGTGGAATAGCTGCCCGGTTCGCAGATCCGATAATTGTTCGTGCCTGTATCAGGGGTAGAAGTGGTCCAGGTCTCCGTAATCCATCAAGACAAGATGGGGCTGAGCCGGCGGACGGGAGGGGACCAGTGAAAAGAAATTGCGAGCTAGATGCGCATTGCGCCGGTCACGCTCAAAGACCATGGCTCTGCGATAGTTATTTGCCCTAGTCGAATGGCGCGGTCTGAAGTGCTTATACAGATTACAGGGACCCCCTCCTCGTGGCCATTGTGGAATCCCAGCGGCCAGTGCCCAGCACACAATCGAAGCAGCTGTGCTGACTGGCGACTGTGTAGAACGTGCAGCAGAGCAAAGCCCTAACGTCCTCATACCCACTATGCATAAACCTAGAATCCCGAGTCCACCTGACAGCGAGGGCGTCGAAATTGGATCTGCACGACGTGCGGTCGAGCTAGTACCGCCATCATGCCAATATTAGCAAATGATCCAGACCTGACGTTATTTACCAGGCACATACGGTAACCATAGGCCGGCCGACAGCAGAGTGGGTCGGGGTCGAGGAGGTACAGAGTTCATGGGACGAGGAGTTGACGGCTTAGGGCCGGACCAACCGACTGCGCGCACCAGTCAGAAGCCGAGTATTCGCGCGGAATGGAGCACACGAACACCTATGAAATTAGCGCGGAGAGGATGAACGTGCCCTTGCACCTATCGGGTAGTTGATCGTCTACCGACAGCGAACCACGACCCGGTCACTAAGCGGGAAGGCCTCGTTCGAGCCGAGCATCAGCATATCCCGGGCGTGTACTATGGTAAAGCCCGCCCCATTCACCGTATCGATTGACAGGGGCAGGTCATGTTAGATGCCCGACCCTGGGCCGCTATTGGAAGCCCAGCACTAACGGAGGAATGTGACAGTGCCGTTTGACACGACGACGTTGGATCCCTATTTTGCTTTTGTGACAGGAACTTCTTTTTCAAAAAAAAAAAAAAAAAAAAAAAAAAAAAACAAAAAACAAAAAATTAGCTGTTCCACTCTCGGTTTTCTCGTCACACATGCCCCTCTTTTGATTGGTTTTTTTTGTTTATCGCTGGAAAGTGGAAGCCGCAGGGGGCTCATCACGAGCAAGCTGGGAAGTTTAAATGACTATGAACCATGCATCGGAGATGGAACCATCCTCTTAGATTGAGGGGAATGGAGCAAGATCGCGCATCTCAGGGGCTGAAACGCCGAAGCGCGATGGCTCCATGCTTGCTTGGGAAATCAAAAGATGCGATCATGGCGGAAAAGACTGGAGACTGGGTGGGATAGGATGATGGAGACTTGGAGATGGAGAAAATGAATGTTGACAAGGAAGAAAGACCATTCCAAGGCCGAACAAGACAAACGCCGCAAAAACAGGTCAGGGGACTGGAGCCAATCACGGGGGACACACGCCGGACGAGACCTTTCCTCGCTGGGAATTATCCCCGGCGGCCGGGAGTTGATACTGCCAACTGCTTCCCGTTGAACTTTTATGCTTAGTAGTTATGTCTACACTTTACGGAGGAGATTCAGAAGTATCCAATTTCTATGGCTATCATGAACTGAAGTGTAACCTCGTTCAGTAGTGGAAAAACTGATTCATAGACCATATAATCATCCATGGACTCCTTCTCCTCGGAGATGGGATATGAAAGCATACCCGTACGATAAAAAACAAGGTATCCATAATCGATATTGTCAGTCTCCCCTACACACATACTCACACCTCTCAAATCTCATCTACTGCATACCCTGCATACATATTATCAATTTTTTACCACTGACAGCTCCACTCAGCCTTAGATTAGTTTCAAACGGAGATATGATTCCAACTAGACTAGACGGGGGCAGACGCGCAAGAAAATCAGAGCTATCTAGACCGCATCTAATATCGAGAACAAAAACAAAAAGAAAAAAAAAAAGTGGCCCTTACAATTGCGCCTAAATGATGCTTAAACCGGACCACTAACCTACTAGAGTTGTCGGCTCCGATCACACAAATGTGATTGATGGACGCTAACGCACTGGGATTGATTATCATCCACGCTTCACTTCTGCCCCTCAATCGATCAACTAATTTAGTACAAGGGCCCTGTTCCTGGGGGCGGTGATTGTGTGGTTTGCACCAAAGTAAATCCAAGATCGTATGATCATATGATTCTCTGTTATATGTACGTGCTTCAAGGTGGTGCGGGAGGACAAACAGCATTGTAAGTGGCATCGTGAGATTGCGTTAATCTGTATGTGGCGTATTATTTCATGCATTACGGAGTATATAATTTTCGTTCAAGCCAGGTAGTAGGTGGAATCCATGCTGTGCATGCCTATAACTAAGCTTACTATATCTGGCCTCCGCTCTGTATACTCACAGTCCAGAGGAGAACTCGAAATACTACCAACCCAAACGACACACTTTCTCTACTAACTACTAACATAATGATATCAGTTTAACCAGCCATCTTCAGTGGTTTCTCTTTGACAATTGCCTATATAACGGTGATTGTTAAGGTAAATATACCATACTATCGGCTTTCATTCAACTCATGTTGCAGGACAACTATAGCAGATATTAGAGAGATCACGATCATACCATGGCAGATTTCTCTGGTGCGAAATGCAATAGTCATAACAACACAAATATGACGGCCCTCAGCACGAATGATACTACACCTGAATTTCAAGTAAAGATAATGGCACGTACCAATAATGTCTTTTAGCTTACCACGATCATGGCCTACGCTCCCGTTTAAGATTAGAAAACCGACATATGACGAGAAATCCTTATTCAACGAAGGGCACTTGGAATCCAGCCCCATCTCAGCAATAACCGAGTAAGGCCCGAGATATAATATATACAGACGCCCCAACGCCCGATTTCCGTCCAGATTCAGTTAACCTCCTAACTCCCTAAGCAAGGAAAGAACAAGAAACAGAAAACGAAAAAGGAGCCGGTTAAATCCCCGCAAACCATTCCTCAATACCGACTCTCTGAGCTCCCATATGGTGAACAAGCAAGCAAGCAACGAACACCGATTCCTCACTCCTCCTTCTTAGCCTTCTTCGCGGCCGGCATCAGACCCTGCGAGCTGGGGGAACGCGTAACAGGAGCGTAGATCGGCATGAAGCGGAAGCTGTTATCGATGATGGTCGAGGCTTCGGAGTCATCATCAACTTCATCCGCCATCTTGCGTTTGGGGGAAAGCGGGTTAAGAAGATTGGCGATGCTGACGACTCCACTAGAGTGTTCGATGGTGGGGCTGTTAGGCTCAACACTGCTTTCTTTGTCGGTAGCAGTGATCATATCCAAACCATGCTTCTTGGTCGGGGTGGTGGCGGAACCAATGCTGAGATCATATTTGCCATTCTTGATGACGGCATCAAGGTTCTTCTTCAGACGGTGGTAACGCATGCGCGCGGCCCCATTGTTGAGGTTGGTGGCCTCGCTGAGAGCCTTCCAGTCGACCTGATGGGCATGTTAGTATGTGAGGGAAGATGGGCAGCACCAAGTAGAAGGGAGACTTACAACTCTGAAGTCAGAATACAGGAGGCACATGTATAGGAACACGATAGTGTCGTTGGGATTAGGCTTAGTCATTTTTACGGTGGATGAAGAGCAGTTGAGGATGAGATATTAGGAGTGTTATGTAGAGAGACAAGGTGGTATGACTTGACTTGACGAACACCTTGTTTGGTCCGGTTGAGAGGGTTGTAGAAGAAGGTTGGTTGAGAGAGAGAGAGAGAGAAGAAGAGAGGGAAGGGAGGAAGAATTTATAGGGATGTACAAGACCACAAGATGAAGAGATGAAGAGATGTGATTCACCAAACAGTGACATCGTCGCCGTGGAATGGCCATGGATGGCAGTTCGCAAATATAACCGGATAGCACGAGGAAATACGAAGTTATAAGAGGTTGGAGGAAAGGGATGCATAGTGGGAGCGCATTGTATTAGGTGCTAAAATGTGAAGGATATATGATATTGAACAACGCCACATGTGCACAAATCAGGTTCACAATTACACCGTGTTTGCGCCGGTGGACAAACCAGCAAACCTCTCTGCAGACTCCTTCACAGCTTCTGCAAGCACTGTGTGGGCACCCCGAGCTGCATTCACTGCCCCATCAATGAGAGATTCATGGTTCAGACTCTGATCAGTAGTGCCTAATGATGCCTTGGAATGATCGCCCTTGAGCCATAATTCCGTAATTTCATCTCTTGAGGGCATGTAGGCGACGACACAGGCAGACAGAATAGACTTGTGCTCAGCTGGGTCCGTATCGAGCATCAGCTTAGGTGTAGATGTTTCACCCTCTGCTGACTCATCGGAGACGATGGCAGCCACACCACCAGCTACAAGATCAAGGCAGTCAATTCGAGCATCAGCAATTGCCGCAGACGCAGCGGTAATGCAACCAGCCAACACATTCATCATTCCCCAAGGAGCATCATGCGAGTCGGGTGCATCGCCCCACCAGCGATCATCTTCTGCTTCCAGGATGGTGATTGTGATATCGAGGCCACTCTTGGGCCAGCGCTCAGCAACAATCACCCCTCTAAGCGCCGTCTCTAGGTGTACACCCAGGTCCCGTTCGCTAGCATCGCGGATATGCCCTTTTCTTTGACGGGCAGCAAACGGCGCATACTTCACATGTGTCGTAAGGACGACGTTGGGCGAAAAGCTAGCCGAGCGCGGCAGGGGCTTAGGGCCATGAACTGTACAGGCAAGCTTCAATGCCGAGGAAGGAGGAATCAGGGATTGGGGGTTTGAGCGTGCAGCAGCAAGAGATGCGGAGGGTTCGAACTCAAGATAGGCGGAACCAGATGCCGAAGGGATGAGACCTGTCTTCAGGACTAGAATGAAAGTAAATTAGCCATACTATCATCCAACAAGAATCGTAGTTGCCCTTACAGATCTTGCGAAGCTCATCCGGCTGCCTTTGACGTCGTGGTCTGCCGGTAGAAATGCTAGAAGCGGACTTGAGAGATGAGGCGAAAACGGCCGGCCTCGTGCCGCTAGGCGGCCCATTGATTCTTCGTCTGTCAGTCATTACACATGACTTGGCATCCTCGTACCAGCGCGACAAGCGATTGAGGAAGCGAGACAAAGATTTGGGTCAGAAACTTGGATGGCCAAGCAGAGCTGCTGTCGATGTCCAAAAGCGGTCATCTACAATTTTGAGGGAAGTTTGCATGGTTTGCAAGGCGGGCAGCGCGGAATTCGGCGCTTTCTTTTTCCTCGTCCAGTTTTCCTTTTCTTCGCTTCGACTCGCGCTTTTCCTTTCTCTTCTTCTCCCGCACCACACAAGCTTGATTGTTTGCGAAAAGCAGCAAGTCTTTTATGTTGAGACTTCAAAAACTTCAAGTCTGCCTTTATTGGCAACTTGTCACTAACTGATATAATGTGAGTCTTACCCACTTCTTCACTTCCTTACTATCATTGCTTGATGAACAAGATCCAAAAATCTTTCAGTTCTGGCGACAAACAAATGGGCCTTGAACAAACATGCATCACCATCTGATTATGCACTACAATTGCCTCGTGTTTCCTCTTCCATGTCTGGTTGAGTAGCTTTGCTGACATTGCTTTAAGATTATAGGATGATAGCTACAGCTATATCACCTCAATTCCGCCATTGTAAACTAATTGGTATGCCACCCTCTTTCCCCTCCCACAGCCCTCCAGGCCTCAACCCTGGACCATCATCCAATGATGAGAAACATTTTTTTCAGTTCTGCTTCTGCAAATACCTTGAAGAAAACAAAATACCTTACCAAAAACTCCTGATCCAATTGGACAAACATCACTACTTGTTCCACTCATTGCTTTCAGTCAACAATCTTACTGACAGCTCTCAAGACTTCTTCTAGGTACTTGTAAAATCATACGTGTCATTGACAAACACCGAGCTACATCATCCTGGACTCATCAGAAGAGGTATGCTTATAACTTTCGGTTACACACAAACCATAAACACAACAAACCCACACGTCGATGATGACAACAAGTCAATCCATTCAATGATCTCCTTCTTGGAGAACCGCCCCTCGGGCCTGCATCATCCAACAATGTCATGCATATGACTTCAACGATCTACTTTTCCATCTCCCTTATACTGGACCTTACGCTCCCTATCCTCCCTCGGGAAGATGTGCAGGCGTTCAAGGGAGGAAGGTTGTGGAGTCTTGGAGAGGTAGGCTAAATCGTTGTTGTCCGCATTGTCGGCGTTGGTATGTTTGTTGTGTCTGACTTGTGTCAGGGCCTTTTTCCCGCCTCGTCGTTCGTTTTGGATGGCTTGACGGGGGATCGGAACTGGCAGGGGAAGGGATGAATTACCCGGCTTGGCTGATCCTTCCATATACTCTATTCTTCTTGGAATAGAGTCCATGCCCTATATCTCAGAACCACATTCTTGAGTGGATCGTGAGCTGACTTTCTCGTCTGCCTGCAGACTTTCTCTCGTCTTGTCCGCCTTATTATAGCTTGTAAAAATAATCATATCTTCTCATCTTGATACCAATACTTGTCTTCCATATACCCGCTACACCTACAACTTTAGTACCCGTAAAGCCAGAGTAAAAGTAACAGAAGTGGAATAGCCTTATGTATGGTGTGAAGCTTTATTTACACTTGTTTATCATTTGTAATCCCATCTCGGACTTTCTGCAGCACCATGCAACTACACAACTAGCCTCCTGTAACACACCAGCCGACCGAGTTTCGAATCTGCAGTAGAGAAAATGGGATAGATAAGCAGAAAAAGTCGCAACAGCGTTGCATTTATCAACCCCGCCCAGTCAGTAAGAAACACTCTTCACTCCTCATCCTTCTCATGCGCCTCAGTGGGCGTTGTAGCACCATCTCTGGTCATGCTATATGGAGCCTAGTTTAAACATAACCTATTAGCCTTTCGTAACCAAAGAAAAGGGGCCTCATATGTGAAAGTACAAATACTCACCAAGACCCGCTTCGCATTACAGATCCTCCAAGCGAGGTTCCGAACAGTCCCATCAGCTCGGACAACTTCAGGGGCGAATTCGATACCGAACCTAGGTAAAATATTAATTAGCATACTGAATACTGGCCGCTGGAACTATTAGTAGTATAGTTACTCACATCTGATGTACAGCAAAGACGACTCTTTTAGCGAATTTGCCGTCACGCTCTACAAGGCTACCGAACTGCTCTTCCACAGTTTCAGGCGCGATTTCAGGGTCTCGGTCGAAGCAGTTGCGGACAACAGGGAGGAGGCTCTTTTCGACGGACGCCTGGTTATCTTCGAAGGATTCTTCATCGAAGCGCCGGATGCGGATCTCGAAGGGACGAGAAATCGCCATGACATTGTGTTTGCCGTTGTGGTGATAACGGAACTCGAAGACACCTTGAGTCCAGAAGAGCTTGTCGCCTGAGAAGATGACTTCGCCGGTGGCGACGTCGCGATGCTCACTGTTTTGGGTGACAATGTCGCTGGTTACGATGCCCTTCTCGCAGGTGAGATTGTCGTAGAAACCCTCGTTTGTGGCGACCCATCTTCCTTGAGAGGAGACGCGAGAGACTTCACGCGAGGTATTGTCCGTGACTCGGTACAGGCTGATCCAGTCCTTCTTGCTGTGGTTCAAAGGAGCGGTCCATTTGACTTTGATCGGGGAGCCATATTCGAAAACCAGGTTCTTCAAATCGCCTCGTCTGTCAAGGGGCACGCGAGCGTTGGCACCTTCTCTACCAGTACTCTTATCGCACTCCTCAAGAGAGGATGAATCCGTACCTTCGACTTCCAGGGCATAGTCCCGGGAGTCCAAGCCAGCGAGGTCCTCATCAATGCGGGAGATGGTCACACGTGCGGGATATGTCTGGAATAGCGCAGTAGTGTCCTTGACGAAGGTATTAACGCCGGCAGCTAGTTTAGGGCGAGCGGTGTCGATCAGATCCTCGATAAACTCGAAAGAGTCATCGAAGATCTTGTCCACGCTTCCATGAAGCTGACGGAGAGTGGGGGGCAGGGTCCGCTTCAGGCTCTTGACCAGCCCCGCATCCTGTCGCAGGCTTCGGCCATACAGCTTCTGCATGTGCGGGCGCTCCACGAATTGGATGAAAGCCATACTTAAAATGTGGCTCAAAAGGGCCAGGAATGTAATTGCGCCACTACTTGTGATCAAGACGGCGCCCCAGACGCCGGCCAGACCCAGCACCCGTTCAGGATTGTTCAGGAAGCGATATATACCGTTATACGTTAACTTATGGGCCCCTTCGAAGAAGAAGTCCCCATAGAACCAGCCAAACTCCCCGAGAGACTCGTAGATGCTGGCGGAGGTCCAGATTTGCAAGCTAATGAGCCCTGCGCCCAGAACATGACGGAGCAAGACCAGACCGTAGCCCCAGTCCGCGGGCAGCGTGTACATTTTCCATACGGCAGCAATGAAACTAGCATAGCACATAATCATACTCAGATGATAAGTGCCTTTCCACTGGTTCCAGGCCTCATTAGGTGATTCACCATACTTAAGAAAATGACGGGTCCACGCTTTACAGTCGGATTGCTCGGTCAAAAGATATCCGATGCCCACCGAAAACACCAGTCTCCATACCGCGGCATTGGCCACGAAGAGAAATTGGTATCGGGGCGTTGAGGGCGTCAGAACGGTCAGTGCAAATACGAGTAGCTGGATCAGGATTGATGATGTATCCGTTATCCGATACAGATCCAAGTTGTTGAAACCCAGGAGATTGTGAACTGAAGGAGGTGGGCCGCTTGGGGATGTTGTCGCTTGGGGCAGTGGCTCATCGGTTGACGCTGAGGCAACGGAAGGCTCAGTGGCCTGAGATGATGTAGATACAGAGTCTTGTTCGGTCATACGCTTCCGCGGTGGAGGAGGGTTGTACGTCTTGTCGATGTGCGGGTTTTCGACAAACACCAAAAAGGCGAATTGAGCTGCATGGGCGATTATGGAGATGAAGAGTACTTTGTAGCTGGCCGCCATCAATGAGATACCGTAGTACCCGGCGTATCCGACCGAATACATGGGGTGAGGGGCCATTTCGAAGACGCCATCGAACGTCAACTCTTGGTCGATGAGGTAGAAGAAGTCTCCCCAGTACCAAGCATAGTCTTTAACCACGCGGTGTGCGTCTAGTTTGACCCAAAGGTTGAACAAGACGAGCACAATGCCGGCCGACCAACGCGAGACTGTCATCAACATGCTCTCACCCACAGGATGGTGGCTACATGCTATAGCAAAGAGACAATATGACGTGAAGTCGCACATCAAGATCAAGTCCACCAAGCGTCTAAAGACAAGCCAAGTGTTGTACTCAATCGGAGCTTCTTCAAAGGAATAGTCTGTAGGGATCTTAGTCTCCAATTCCCGCTTGAGCAAGTTATACACGTTGGGATGCGGATTCTGGTTAGTAGAGGGGTTCACAAAGATCCTTGTCTTTTCTGCCCAGCGCACAAGAGTCTTGTGGTGGGACTGGTTATGCAAAAGCCATCCTATTCCGGCATTGTAAGCTGCACGCCAGAAGAGGTAGATAACCGCAAACACAGGTATTTTGGCAAAGTCCGGGAGCCACCATAGTAAAAGGATGTGTGCTCCCAGTATAGCCAGAACTATCACATCGGACAAATTCTTAGGTTCCGAAGGCGACAGGAGTTGAGAGACCATGTCGTGGGTTTGGGGCACCGTGAACACTAAGAAGCAATGAGGTAAATTAGCCGCCAACTTCCGCCACTATAACGTAGAAGTCCGCCATCATTGATTGATTACAGAATCTCTGAGTCCAACCAGACAGAACGCATAAACTCAATGGAATGCCTACCTGTACCATCAGGGGTCCTGCCAAAGGTTTTCTTGTTCTGGCTTGTACCATCTTTGGCTTCGACCTCACCGGCAGCAGTGAGTGCACCAGCGCCCAGGGATGAGTCGGACTGAGAGGACTGAAACCTCTCGCGAAGTCCATCATCCCCGATGTGAGTGCCTGTTGAGAGGCCTCGATCCATGCTTGTTTACCGAGAAGTGGTTGGGGGTAAGTAATGAAAAAAAGCGCACAGTCGAGAGAAAAGCATGTGACAGAGGTGCTGGGGGCAGGCCGTATTTAAAGCGTCAGGGTAACTATGATTGGTCCGTGCTGCTCAATTCTGAGTCACCAAGCCGCATTGGGGAATCCCTCGAGATCGCTGGGAATGGTGTCCAAAAGGTGAAGCGTAAACAGCACACAACCAAGGTCTAAATGCTTAATGGTTGAGTGTAAGTAACCAGCAATGGGGAAAGTTAGAGGACCGTCCACGTATTTATTCTGGCAAAGCGTTGGGGTTAGGACTAGCGAGCAATATGAGACAGCAGCGACATCTCCTCCCCAAGTGCCCACTTTTGTCGGTTAGCACTGCTTGAGTGTGGGCCCCCGTGCACTGCCTGGGGAAAGACCCGGACTCTCAAGCAGTCCAACTGACGCCAGTTATGACGCTTGCCCGGTACGCTTTCTTGGGAAGAATGGGCTGGAATGGAAGAGAAGTAATGGATCTCAACATCCCAGGGTCCGACGACCTGCCCACTTTTACCCACCGCAGATTGGATCGCTGCGCACTACCAGATTCTGGTCCATGGTACACGATTTGGAAGAAAGGGTGAACCTCTTCTCCCACACCAGATATCGTCGATCACGAACATATGCGGACTACCGCATCATTCCAATTTGCACCTGCTGGCTGCTGGCCCGTTAATGATGCAGCCACATCCTCAAAACTGGCTTTCGGGAAGCAGCTCCCCTCCCTCGCTCCAGGCATTCCGGGCCATTTCATGCACACTTTGGTATTGGACATAGATTTCTAATGGCGGCAACTGCGCCTGCTCATTGATCACGGACCCATTGGATATTGAATCAATTGTTTCTTTCCATCAATAGAATATCATGAATACCCAGGATGGTGTGTACCTTGATTGAAACCAAGGTCGATGCAACTAAATCTGTACCCGGTAGCGCATGCGGACAATGAGCACTCCCTATGGCCAACGCACTCATTCCGAACGACATTGGCTCCACGAGAGATGCATCTCTTCCCCTCATCTTAAGAAAAGTCGTGCAGTACTGCCATCTTCTGACTATCCCAGGATAGAAACTGATTGACAGGACTATGTGAGGTGTTATTTCTCCTTTTAACGCACATATGGTGACATTCTGGCTCGCATGGAAAGTCACCCGCTTGATAACAAAATATTGTGGGTGTCTTTCTATCCTGTCCTACCCAACTATGAATGCTTCATGTGGGCAACGTCTTTTGAGGATGCTCTTACCCTTATGTGAGAACCTGGTCCTTGATCAATAGGGATAATATTATATCATTGCGCAACCGGGTTGTGGGCATTGTTGAACCTCGTTAAAGTTCTGACACTGCATGAATTTTCCGCGTTACCCCTCCCGACAGCCAGATTGAAATCAGGTTGCCCCTCTCGTGTCAGGCCTGTCTGGTTGGCATCCCTTCTGACTGCGAGTCGGCGAACTTGCCATGATATTAGATATAGTAGAGACAGCGTCTGTCGGGCTTCTGAATAATATGGGCCAGTGTTAATTGCCAATTTCAACAAGCATAGTGAATTTCTATAGTCTACTGCATATACAATGACCCCGTCTCACTGAACTAGCAGTATGGGAGGGCGTCGCTTCGAGTCGAAAGCATGATTGGAAGCATAGCATCCATGCTCACTAGAATCAGTGTATTGATCCCAAACATGCATTCAAAATTTTAACGATGCGATAGGATAATTTTTCCATACACAGTTTAGATCTAAGATTATGCAAAGAGCTTGTTTGCTTTGAGATTTGTTCCTGGCATGGGTAGCCAGCAATGGATCTTATCGCCGCTCTCTCCGACACCGCTGCGATCGAAACGAACCCCGCGCCAATCGCCACTGCAGCGTTTGTCATGTGTTGCTTATCAAGCATCCCGCCCGCGGTCACGCCGCCACTTTCCTTGTCAGACTGCATTCAGCTTTTATCACACACAACAACATCTTTTTGGTGACTGATTGTTCAGTATCTGCTGTGGCCTCACTGATTAGCAGACCAAAAGAGTATATATCAGAGATTGAAATTCCAAATGGCACCTTCTCTCGAGGAGCCGACCGCGGCCTATCTCGAGGCGCGGTCGAAGATGGCCCCGAATCTGGTGGCTCCCGAGCCAGGTATGTTTGATATGAAGCAGGCATACTTGTCTAGCATATGATCAGTATACTAATATCTGAGAAGAGCATTGCCCTGGACCCGAGTCTGAACAAGCAGGCAAAGGCGATGCCTGTGCGGGGTGCCCCAATCAATCGATCTGCGCATCTGCGCCCAAAGGCCCCGACCCCGATATCCCCATCATCACCGAGCGACTATCGCAAATACGTCACAAAATCCTCGTACTCTCTGGCAAAGGCGGCGTTGGAAAATCTACATTCACCTCTTTACTCTCACATGCATTCGCCGCAAACCCCGAATCGACCGTGGGTGTAATGGATACAGATATCTGTGGGCCGTCGATACCAAAAATGATGGGCGTCGAGGCGGAGACCATCCACGTGAGCAATGCAGGCTGGAGTCCGGTGTGGGTGACGGACAATTTAGCCGCGATGAGCGTGCAGTTCATGCTGCCCAATCGTGATGATGCGGTGATTTGGAGAGGGCCGAAGAAGAACGGACTCATTAAACAATTCTTGAAGGACGTGGATTGGGGTGAGATGGATTACTTGGTCATCGACACACCTCCAGGGACATCGGACGAGCATCTGTCCGTCAACTCTCTTCTTAAGGAGTCTGGTGTGGATGGCGCAGTGGTTGTCACTACCCCGCAGGAGGTCTCGTTGCTCGACGTCAGGAAGGAAATTGACTTTTGCCGCAAGGCAGGCATTCGCATCCTGGGGCTAGTCGAGAACATGTCTGGCTTTGTGTGCGGGTCGTGCAACACTAAGACCCAGATCTTCCGGGCTACCACCGGGGGTGGAAAGCGACTCGCCAAGAAGATGGGCATTCCTTTCTTAGGCGCTGTGCCTCTTGACCCGCGGGTGGGAATGGCATGTGATTATGGTGAGAGCTTCGTGGATCATTATCCTGACAGCCCAGCATCGATTGCGATCAAGCAAGTTGTCCGCTCGGTTGCTGGGATGATCGGAGAGGATCCCAACGACGTTTTGCCGGAAGATGTGGCGGAGTGATTCTTATCATATATATGATGTTTGATTTGATTTCACGGGCGTTCAGCATTGGGATAGCAAGCCGAGGTCTTTTCATTTGTGGGTGTTTCGGGCATTTTGACCAAGAAGTCATTTAGATACCAAATCTTCAAACCTTTCTCTGTTTCCCGCTCAACCTTTCCCATCGCTTCTCCTTTTTCCTACTTATTTTGTACTGCTCCAAGGCACTCTTCGTAGTCTTCGCTTACACCATTGGGGGCGAGATATATCTAGCTTGGGGGCTGCGCGGGGGAGAAAGAACCCGTGCTCACGGACAGGAGTTCGTGTGTTTACTGCAATTAACTAGCAGTTAATAACCAACTACCGACTTACGTTATTAGTGCTCACTAAGCCCTAGACCAAAGCGAAGGAGTTTGCTGCTGTCGATCCTATAGATAGAAACGGGAAATCATATAAAGTGATTTCATGTAACATGATAATGAAGTTCACCCATTCCATCAGTCATATTTACTTGCTAGACAGCTTGGCGACCAGAAACTGCCGGACCGCCCGCCGAGTGAAAAGAATGGGCCTGAAAAAGGGTGCTTGGCAGATTGCAAGGTGAATCCCCGCCGAGCCATGCATCGGACCATTTCCATCTCACCGTTGGCTTGGCTCTGTTTGAGGGAGACGGAAATCCGCTGATGAAGATCCGCAACGGGGGGGGTTGGCCCGAGGTTGAACATTCAGGGTGCTGCTCTAGTCTTAAGTGTGATTGGATCTTGATGAGGCCTTCGATAATGCCGAGAAAGATAAGTAGCATTTCTAAACATACAGAATTATTGCTGCTACTACCTAGATGGGTTCAAGATCAACCTTCCCCCGGAGTAGCCGATTAGACAGATGACGGACTAAGTAGTCTTGTGTCACTCTTTCTTTGCATGGCAGGTTAACAGGTTAACCAAGAAACTAATAACCGCTGGGCAAACAGAAAGTCTATCCCCCAACTGTGTTGTCGGACATCCATTCGTCCAATTTCTTGAACTTCTCTTGGGCAATGATGAACACTACCAAAAAACTCGACTGCCTACGTACGCGGCTTTCCAGGGCTGAGTAAGAATCCTGCTGTTCAGATCGATCTACTACTGTGTACGTGTGCACACTTGCGAAATGTTTAGCCACGCATGCATGACTCGTCCATTGACGTACTCGGGATTCAAGATTCTTAGGTGGACTAGAGCCACGCCGATGCAGCGTACCTTGTGCACTGCTGCTGGTGCCTGAACATTAATACCGAGTGGCTCAATGGCAGAGCAGAACAGACGGTGGGAAAAAGCCGGCGTCCCACGCTGGACTTTGTAACACGCCTAACTCAAAGTTTATCCACGGAACCGCTTTCGAGGCACGCTGGTGTTTCATGATGTTTTCACTGGTGATTGGCCGATGACCCATGGCCCTGGCGGTTAGACTGTTTCACCAGGAGCCACTCAGGGACTCGCTCGCCCCGGTCGCTGTCAAGGAAAAGAGGCCAGTCGCCTGTCAAAGGCAGGTTCCTCATGTCCCATGCGCTCTCTGCTGCTGTGAACAGAAGAAAATATAGAGTTTTCTGCAGCAGCACAAGCGGAAGATCCAAGTTGAACCCACTTTCTTTCTCCTCTCACTCCCCGCCAGTGTCAGGCAAATGAAGATGGATTTCTCCTGGGTTTTTCCCCGTGAATCCAGGCTAACTGGGCCTGGATCATCCAGGATTGGTTGATGATTCCACCGCTGGGCTTTTGGGACCAGACTGGTCCAGCTAGTTGGAACAATGCCACCCCGCCAGCCTCCGTGCTGGGTGGATCGATGTAGAGTGCAAACGTCTTGGTGTCTTGGGCGAATCAACTATAGTAGGGCCTGCTAAAAGTTGCTCGACGGTGAATAATGCCTCTCCGAACTTTTTCCTTTTCGACTTGCTGCCCTTTTATAGACTGCACTTCTTTCCCCTTTTTGTTTACATTTCTCTTCTAGTTCGTTAACCTTAGTGTTCTTTCATTTCTGTTCCCGCTGTCATTTACTTTCTCATCTGCTGGGCTTTGTTGGGCTGAGCGCTACTCCTTTCTCTCTCTCTTGGTCTGGTCTGTTCGTTGCTCCGCCAGTTGGTTCACTCAGCCTCGTAACATCACAGTATACCAGGCTAAGTCAGGACTTTGGCCCCCATACTGCTTCCCCTTTTTAAAAACTCAATCCTTCTGGAAAGGATTCTATTTCTCATTTCTCAGACTACTTAATACGTTCTTTGTTTTCGAATTGTTTTGTTCTGAAACTTGTCGGGCCCTATCCCCTCTTTTTTTATAGTCCGCCCGTCGATATCATATCCAGAGTGAGCTACCATGCAGCTCCTCCAGTCTCTCGTTGTTGCCATTTGCTTCAGCTACGGCGTCCTCTCTTTACCCCATGGTCCGTCAAACCAGCATAAAGCACGCTCCTTTAAGGTTGAACGGGCCCGTCGTGGAACCGGTACTTTGCATGGCCCCGCTGCTCTCCGCAAAGCATACCGAAAGTATGGAATTGCTCCGAGCAGTTTCAGCATTGATCTGGCAGACTTTAAGCCCATCACCACAAGCCACGCTGCTGCTGGAAGCGAGGTTTCGGAGCCTGATCAGACTGGCGCTGTCAGTGCTACTTCGGTCGAGAGCGATGCCGAGTTCGTTTCGCCTGTGCTCATCGGTGGCCAGAAGGTCGTCATGACCTTTGACACTGGTTCTTCTGACTTGTAAGTCTTACTACAGCTGTCTACTATTTGGTACAATGATTAACGTCATGATACAGTTGGGTGCTTGATACGAACCTCAATGAAACCTTGACGGGACACACAGAGTACAACCCTTCAAACTCCTCGACCTTCAAGAAGATGGACGGATACACCTTCGATGTTTCGTATGGTGACGACTCGTACGCCTCTGGCCCTGTCGGAACGGATACCGTCAACATCGGCGGCGCCGTTGTCGACAACCAAGCCTTCGGTGTCCCCAACAAGGTATCCCAGTCATTCATCGAAGACACGAACTCCAACGGCCTGGTCGGGTTGGGCTTTTCCTCCATCAACACCATCAAGCCGGAGGCGCAAAAGACGTTCTTCGCCAATGTCGCATCCAGTCTGGACGAGCCCGTCATGACCGCCTCGCTCAAGTCCGACGGAGTGGGCGAGTACGAGTTTGGCACGATCGACAAGAACAAGTACCAGGGCAACATTGCCAACATCAGCGTGGACTCATCGAACGGATACTGGCAATTCTCCACTCCTAAGTTTGCCGTGGCAGACGGAGAGCTGAAGGACATTGGAAGCGTGAACACCTCGATCGCGGACACTGGTACCTCCCTTATGCTATTGGATGACGATGTGGTTACTGCCTACTACGCGCAAGTCCCCAACTCGGTCTACGTGAGCAGTGCCGGTGGTTACATCTACCCCTGCAACACCACTCTCCCCAGCTTCTCCCTGGTTCTCGGCGAGTCGAGTCTGGCCACGATCCCCGGCAACCTGATCAACTTCTCCAAGGTTGGCACCAACACCACCACCGGACAGGCCTGTAAGTTCCCCTCTTTGCTTTTGCCTGATTGAACATGATTGACTGATTTTTTTTCGGCTAGTGTGCTTTGGCGGCATTCAATCCAACGGCAAGACTTCGCTGCAGATTCTGGGCGACATGTTCCTGAAGGCCTTTTTTGTCGTCTTTGACATGCGTGGACCCTCTCTTGGTGTTGCCTCCCCCAAGAACTAGTTTCCTTTTCTGTACTCCCCCCGCATGTAATAATATCGGCTGAAATTTGGACTGTATCCTACGTGGGCAGATGGATGGACAGTTGCTCACGTGCATTGCTTTGCCTTGGGTCTGCGAGTCAAGGCGGGAGTCGCGTGGCTGTAGTTACAATTCATGTTAACATATTGAAGCAAGATTAATATGCCATATTGGCAAGAGAAAATAGAGTCATTGCTGAACTAGCTGTTCAAACGAGGTAGAGAGTGTTGCAGATAAAAATAACTGTTTCGTAGATCAGAAGCACTTGCAGTGCTGAGTAAGCCAACAGCCCTAAACGGTTTTGGGCGATCAGTCCGGAAAGGGAGAAGGGGGAAAAAGGAAAGGAAAAAATAATGACCATGAATGCAGAGAGTCCGCGTGCTTCTCAATTGGTCGCTAGCATTTATCACTCAACTTGTAAAGAAGAATCATCTAATCAAATCCCTTAATTCACCCAACAAACAAGATCCCTCTCAGTCAGGGATCTTGTGTTAGCAGCGACCAAGGTGACGCTCCTCAGGCCAACGGGGGCACTTCTGCGGGTCGCCAGCAGAAGAACCCCGCGGTTCGCTCGACCGCTGAATCACCGTGACTGCGTAGGATTCAATCCTGCCCCTCCTCTCTCGTTCACCACCTCGTCGTTCCTCCTCCTCTTCCTCCAGCCTGCCGGTCGCCCATTCGCAAAAATGGCCATCAACTCTGCCCCCGAGTCCTCCCTCCTGTCCCTCCTCTACCGCTCCTACCCTACCGCCATCTCCCCCGACGCCACGGAGCCCGACCTTCACACGGCCACCCCCAAAATCTTCCCGCAGACTAGCTTTTCCGTCGCCGAAGAGGCCGACGTCAAGCAATGGCTGGCCACCATCTCCGGTCTGCAGACCGCTCTCAGCAAGGATGACAAGCCCGTCGTCTCGACCATCCTCGCCCAGCTGAACTCTCACCTCGCCACCCGCACAACCCTGCTCGGTGCGAAGCCCTCCGTGGCTGATATTGCCGTCTACGCCCTCGTCGCTCCTCTCGTCGAGAAATGGACCCCCGAGGAGCGTACCGGTGAGCAGGGCTACCACCACATCGTCCGTCACGTCGACTTCGTCCAGAACAGCCGCATTTTCGCTCTCCAGATCCCCGACGAGGAGAAGGTCACCATTGACGTGAACGACGTCCGCTTCGTGCCCAAGCCCGTCGACCCCAAGGAGGAGAAGGAGCGCAAGAAGAAGGAGAAGGCCGCTGCCCAGAAGCCCGCCGAGGCTGCTGGCAAGCCCCTCGTTGTCGGACAGGGCAAGCCCGAGGCTGCGGCCAAGGCCGACGGTGCCAAGGGTGACGCCGCCGCTGCTGCTAAGCCCGAGGGCAAGCCCAAGAAGGAGAAGAAGGAAAAGAAGGAGAAGCCGGCCAAGGCTGCGCCCGCCCCTGCTGCTCCCCCGTCTCCCTCCGTCATTGACCTCCGTGTTGGTCACATTCTTCGTGCTGTCAACCACCCCAACGCCGACTCCCTCTACGTTTCCACCATCGACTGCGGTGACGCCCCGGGCACCGAGAACACCTCTTTGGATGAGGCCACCGGCAAGACCGTCCGCACTGTGTGCTCCGGTCTGAACGGTCTGATTCCCCTGGAGGAGATGCAGAACCGCAAGATCGTCGCCGTCTGCAACCTGAAGCCCGTCACCATGCGTGGCATTAAGTCCTGCGCCATGGTCTTGGCTGCCTCTCCCCGCGTGGCTGAGGGCGAGGACTCGCACGCTGGACCCGTCGAGCTCGTTTCGCCTCCTGCCGATGCCCCTGCCGGTGAGCGCGTGTGCTTCGAGGGCTGGACCGAGGGTGAGCCCGAGAAGGTGCTCAACCCCAAGAAGAAGGTCTGGGAGACCTACCAGCCTGGATTCACCACCACCGATGCCCTCGAGGTTGCCTTTGAGATGAGTGCCGTTCCGGCCGTGCAGGGCCAGGAGGGCAAGCCCGCTCTGGGTAAGCTGAAGACGCAATCCGGTGGGCTTTGCACAGTCAAGACCCTGAAGGGTGCGGCTGTCCGGTAAGGGAATAATTGATTCGGAGAGGGAAACAGATATAAAAGGCAGTTTGATTCGGAAGCAAAAGAAAAAGAGGGGGCTGCTCTAATCAAAAACGTAAATAGTTAGTTATGATTGATAGCGCCATTGCAAGTTAGACGAGGAATGGGAATGAATTATTGATAAAATATCTCTATACTATATAACCTCACATTGTACTTCCATTAAACTTACCCCTCACAACAATACCTGCCAAGTTTACACTCCCCTCCGAGAACGTAACCAAACATCGCGGAAATTTCCCGCTACCGGAACATAATAATCACTAAAACCAACCTTCAGCATCCTTATTTCTCTTTCATCTTGACTTGCCAATATCAATCATAGTATAACACATACCCATCATTCACAGAAACACTCTCCAACACCATATGTCATTTTCATAATAAGGATACATTTAATAAGTTACCATGCGAGCAGTCCGATACCACGGCCGAGGCGATATCCGAGTCGAGGAGATCCAGGAACCCGGGTCGTGCGGGGTGGGTGAGGTGAAGGTTCGTATGAATATCTTATTCTTATTTCAGTTCCTAGCAGGTTATCTTGAGTAATATATCATTCTAAACTTATGATTGTGTTGGTTGTTGCATGGTCTATTATCTTGTTTCATACTGATTTGGTACTCTCCTATTGGTATGGTATGATATACTAATATTGTGATACTAGATCAGACCTGCTTTCGTGGGGATATGTGGTAGTGGTACGAACACATTTCCTCCCCTCTAAATCTATCTCTGATATATGCTACGAGCAGAAAGTCAAGGCCAGGCTGAATAGTAGACTGATTAGACATCCACGAATACCTCCACGGCCCGTCGACCATTCCGAGCACTACGCACCCCATTACGGGGGAGAAGATCCCCGTGACACTAGGTCACGAGTTCAGCGGCACGATTACGGAAGTAGGGGAGGGAGTGATTCGTCTCCATGTGGGAGATAAAGTGGCCATTAAGCCGAATCTGTTCGATGGTGGGTGTGCGGCTTGTCTGGGGGGTTGGGTGAATTGTTGTGATAATTTGGGGTTTGTGGGGTTTAGTGGTATGTTCTATCCGTCTTTCTCTTTTCTTGTTTTGGTTCTTGGTGTAGGGTGGTGTCTATTTAAAGGGTTGGCTGATTTTGTGCAGGTAGTGCTGGGGGATTATCGGATTATGTTGTAGTCAAGGAGCATAGGGCTGTGAAGTTGCCGGAGGGGTTTGAGTTGGATCTTGGGGGTGAGTTGATCTTTTCTCACAATTATAAATATGGAATCGTGCTGATTGTATAGCTCTCGTGGAGCCACTGACTGTGGCATGGCATGCAGTCAATCGGTCTTCTATTCAGAATGATAATGCTCGTACGGCGCTGGTGGTGGGTGCTGGACCCATTGGGCTTGCTGTGCTTCTGGTTCTCAAGGCCCGTGGCATGGAAAACATTGTCGTTGTGGAGGTCTCGTCGCAGCGGAGGGAACTTGCCTTTTCTTTGGGCGCTACGCGTGTTCTTGACCCCCGGGCTGACGATGTTGTGGCCACGGTGCGTGCGATGACGGGAAATGCCGGAGCTGATATAGCATTTGAATGCTCTGCTGTGCAAGCAGGACTGGATACCGCTTTGAAAGGGATCCGGGCACGGGGCACAATGACGGTTCTGTCTCTCTGGAGCGACAAGCCGGCGATCGATGCATTTGACGTGGTACTAGGCGAAAAGCACGTGGTAGGGTCGGTGATATATGAAGACGGAGAATTCGAGGCCGTCATCGACGCTATGTGGTCAGGTACGTGACTGCCAGACAGCCATGCTTGACCATTCACACGTTATACCGAAGCTGACTGAACACAGGCAAACTCAACCCTCGGGCCTTAATCACCAGTAAAATCCGCATGGAAGACATCGTCGAAAAAGGCTTCAAATCCTTACTCCACGGCCGAGACAACCAGATCAAGATCTTGGTGGACATTTCGGCATGAAAGTCCGAGACATCCAGGGCGAGTAGGACGAGTATTGATCAGCTGCGGCTGGCGGTGTGTTGCACGACGTGGTCCAAATCCAGATACGTGTGTTGTTACTTGCATTTTAGCCCGTGTTATACATGACAACATCCTTACCATGCACAGCTTCCCTCTCGTCCGAGGATTGGCGTACTTCTTGAAGGCGCAGCACAGCCAGTTTTCTTGCAATGCCGAGACCAGCAGAAGCAGACGTGTCAGCAATGCCAAGGCATTTCTTAATCCGGGCACTCCGTGTCGTAGACTGGTCCGCCCGGGGAGGGGGAATACGGCGCTAGCTATTGTGTTGTAGAACGAATCCCTGTAGTGTTGTCTCTCAGTATCCATGGGAAGAAAGTCCTCTAGAGAGGAGGCGAGGCGAGGCGGGGGATGTACGCTACTGTACTTACCTTTGACATCCAACACGTGTGTGGGAATGAATACGAGGGACTGAACAGGGATGGCAAGTGCAACCACGACAGCACGCTGTCCAGTCTTTCGGAACGGCTGGTGGTGCCAAGCTGTGCTATTCCCGCGCGACTCTGCCGGGGCGGGGTCGATTTCTCGTATAACCTCATCCATCCCCAAGTAGTTCGATGCAGGAGCAGCGTCCAGCGGGCAAACCCGTCTGCCAGATGTCAACTAGTTAGTTAACTAGTGAGGTAGTTGGATGACTCCACTCCACCTGATTGAGCGGGGATGGTTCATCCCGACGCCAGTTCGTTCTGGACAATTGGAGATGCTGGCTGGCCATCATGTCAGTTCGTGCTATTCCCGAAGGATAGTTAGTCGAATCGAGGTGTCATATATCCCAATATCTAGTAAGCTTAGTGTGTAGTTAGTAACAATGATCGGGATTCCGGCAATTGAAGGGGACTTCACAGGAAATTACTGTAGTCTAGACCTCGTCGCCACTCCAACATTGCCCCCCTACACAGACACACAGCATAGTATCGCACAATCAAGTAATATTGTCCCCTACTTAGTATTCCACCTTTGATATATTAAGCTATCAAGTAGGTAGTAGTGAATGACTTACCTCCGAGATCTCCCCACCCTTCACCTCGGAGATAACGCAACTCATCCTCATCCATCTAGTATGCGTTCATCACGCGCACATAAACCCTTAATCCCTACTTACCCTTTTTTTCTTCCTGTCCTTCCCTTCGGTCCCAAATACAAACACAAAGCAGAAAGCACAACAAATAGATCCCGGCAATTGGTTACTTCTACTTAGTTCGGCTTAGCGTGTATATTAGTCTGCAGAAGAACATGCGTTCGATCGCGCCACTTTGGGGTAAGTCGTCGGTAGTATGAGGGATCACGTCAAATGGTGCAAGGTGGTTACGCGATGGTATAAAGTAAGTACTCAAGAGGCTAGTTGTTAGTGGTATACGATGTGTCTGGATGCACGGACAGACCTAGAGAACTAGGTACTTGTGGGATATGGAATGGCAGTATGAAAGTGTTAGTGATTTTTATTCTATTTTTATTATTTTTACTCCAAAGAGATCTTATGGTCAGGGATAATTGAATTATCATAAGTGCTTTTGTTTTTATTTGAATCACAACCGTGCTTGTTCAATATTCATGTTGCTGTTAATAGGATAGTCGGGTTGGCGATGTGAACGTCACTCCTCATAGCTGATGAGTAGCTTTTGGACGATGACAACAGAGGTGGTACACAAGCTTGTTGCATCGGAGAATAATGTATTGATTATTCATTCAAACACTTAGACCATTTTATTAGCTGATGCATTGGTTACTCAAATACTGAGATGATGAGGTGATGAGTCAAGAAAATACTCTCTCCGTTCAAGTAACCAGCAGTAACGCGAACAAGAGTATGGAATTGGAACGATGTCTTCTACATGCATAAAGGGGCGTAACAGTGGCTGCCGTCGTCTGTATGCATGTCTCGCCTCCACTTACGCCGACCTGCCTTTTTGCATTTCTTTCTTTCTTTCAATTTGTGCTAATTTAAGGAACAGAGAGGAAAGCGCAAGGACTGGAGAATGAATCCTTGCAAATTTTCACTCACCACTGTTACAGTTTGTTTGTCGGGAAAATGAGTGATGATCATGATTATTAGATGGCCTGATCATAAGTAATAGAAGAGTACTTAGTGTAATAAGTATCTACCAGTGTTTCATCTACCTTATAATGACGATGATTATAAGTGCATAAATCCTGACATTATTACCTGGTACCCTAACTGACACCATACCCAAACTCCTCCTCCCATCTATTAATAACCACACATAAGTATCCATTAACCCAAGACTGGAGTACTACTACGTACTACCTAACCAGCTACTAACTAGTAAGTAAGTATCCATCGTCCAAGCTCCATCCATCATCTCCTTTTCCTTTCAGGTTTTCTTAACCCGAAGAACCCAAGTGTGTGGATCCCCCCTCCCCCCCAAATCCATCCTCACTTTCAATGGTCCTACGGAGAACAATCCTAGATTAGTACTACTTTTCTACTTTAGTTACTAGTTACCTCCCTCCCTCCCCACCCACGGTTTCAAACTTCAGGCCTGTTTGGTTCTTGTCGCATCTTTTTTTTCTTGCGCAGCATCTCTTATCCGCCGTGTGCCTGATTCTGGCCCTGGCGTTCAAAACTAAATAACTAACCATCCATTCTAAATCTAGTTACTTAGACTAACTGACTAACCCCCGATTAGCCCATCGGCTCCCGGCGCCTCGATCTTGGTCGATTTCCTTGGTTCGGGACGGGGATCGAGTGCAAGTAAACTAATTTTTTTTTTTTCTTTCTTTTCTCCTCTTGGGCCTCTTACTCGTATACGACGCTTTTCCTTTTCCTTTTTCTTTTTTTTTATTCTTTATTTTGCCCCCCTTGTGCTTTGCTGGTGGTCAGCAATTGCTGCAATTCGTTAGTCCTGGGGCTTTTTATTTCACTCTGATTATTATTACTATTACTGTTATTATTATTATTATCATCGTCGCTGTGCTACTGCTGATACTTCTGCTACTGTAATTTGAGGCGAAAGGCTGTCGGTGGTTTCCTTGACCTACCTTACCTTGCTGGAGACTGACTTGCCGAAAAGTGCCCCATCATGCTCTGATCGGAATTTATCTCATGAACCCTGTTTGCTAATCGCTTAGAGGGGAACTAATCATCTTGTCTGTCTCTGTCTGTCTGACTGATTCCGTGATTCTTAAACTTCTGAGACCCTGTCGCCTGTCGTTTGCGATTTTGGGTTTCTCACGTTTTTGTCTTCTTGAACCTTTTTACTTGCGCCCTAAGCATGTTATAGCGCTGAGTTCGGCTCTACGCTGACATTGCTATTATTCTTGTTACCTACTTAACTACTACCCCCTTACCGTTGGTATCTATTCTTGGACTTCTTGTTGGTTGTGCTGGCCAACCTTCGTCATGGGTACTCCACTTGTTGGTACCGCTATTATCACCGGCGCGAATGGATTGCTCGGGTCGGAGATAGCTGTCTCGATTGCTAAAGCGCAGCCTTTTGTTCACTTGCTGCTAGTGGCCCGCGATATCAGATCCGACAGCGTCAAGGATGTGACGGACAGGATCCGTCTCATTGGACCCCGCTCCGTCGAGGTGGTTAAGGCAGACCTGGCCTGCTTCAACTCCGTCGTGAGCTTTTCCCAATACACCGTCGAGAGGGTGCGAAGTAAAGAGATCCCTCCCGTGATCTTGTTGATCAACTCCGCCGCAACTTCGTCATACGTTACCGATCAAGTCACACGAGATGGGTACGATCCCGTCTACCAGACCAACTGCATCGCGCCGTTCCTGTTGACCGTGAGCCTGCTCGAGGCCTTCCGCGCAGGCGACGGTACACCGAACGGTGGAGCTCGAGTAATCAATATCGGGTGCTCCTCCATATCCAAGGGATCCCTGGACTATTTTGATGGCGAAGACCCGGAGAGTGCCACCCAGCCGCCAGGAACACCAATTGGCGCCAAGGAAGCGACCAGTCGCTTCGGAAGTAGTAAGCTGCTAATGAGCGCTGCCATGTATGCCCTGCGTCGAAGTCTGGTACTTGTGAGTAGTCCTTCCCTAGGGTTCCAAAAGTACCCCACTAACAAAAGCCGAATGGGGTAGACGGGCAACATCTCGCTCAATGTATACACAATGGATCCCGGCGGCTTGACCGGAGAGAGCCACCTAACGACCGATGCCCCGTTATCGGTCCGAATGGCACACCAGACGCGGTCTGGACTCCGGCCATTCCTGCGGGTGTTTTCCAAGAGTGCGATAAACAAGGCTAGCGTTCCAGCCAAAGTTATTGCGAGAGTCGCATTTCAGAAGGAGACGGTGGAGAACTGGGGAAGGGAACGATATTATATCTTGGATAGCGAATACGAGGCCGCATCCGTCATTCCGGCTTTGCGGGATGTGCCGCGCATGGATGGGCTGCTGCAGAAGATCATGCGACAGATCGAGATAGGCGTCAAGGGCATGGGCTCGCCTCAATCAAGAGTATCGCGGCTGACTGCGCGTTAGTTGGCAAGCCTGGAAATACTTTTGACATCATCTCTTCTGTTCTGTGCCTTCTGCGCGGTGCTATCCCAAAATTAGGAGCATTTCTAGGGCGTTACTTCGAATCTTTGGTTGAACCTGGGTTTGCAGATAAGGAGTTTTTGGGACATGAAAATCCACATTTGCTGTATTTAGAAAATGAATTGTACAGGATCGATTAGCCGCCAATCAAGATGGATAACCACCGCAGCTGATCCGAAGATAATGGAACCGAAAAAAACGTGGAGTAAGAGAGGAGAGAGACGAGCAAGAGGGAGGTTGCATGGCTGCAAACGGTAGTAGGCCTGATGCCGCATTCGGATCTGGACCCGGAAGGCGGGCCACGCTTGGCGCTTCTTGCTCGTCGCCGCCTTGAGCCTACGTTCGGTCGACGCAATCAATGCTACCGTCAGACTTCGTTGTTCAATTCTCACGCTCGTTCGGTCCCTTGACTCCTTTTCGGTACCTTTTTATTAATCTCCTGGATCTGCGATCCGCTAACATTCTTCGTCGCCCGTGCCCACGTCGGTGTTGTTTTCTTACTCCCCCCGTAAGCGCATTCCAGGGATCCTTGAAGCTGGTGGTCATTGCTCCGGGATCTAGGAGCCCCGGAGGTTCTTTGCTTCAGGACCTGTTTCCTAGCTACATGCAATTGTAGGAGAGATGAACCGGCATCACGCCTTCTCGAACGGCTATGCTGCCTACCCTCGCGGCAAAGCCAGCCACAACACCTTTTCTATCTCTCCCCACCGGTAAGCGGCCCCTGCAACTGTCGAAGATCATCGCATACCAACATTACCTTCACATGAAATCGATCTCGATGAAGGCCAATCGGTGGCCTGGCATATCAGTCACCAAATTCGTTGTGCAGGAGGATTTTTTGACTGACATTGGTTTGCTAGCTTTCAACCGCGCCCACAACCGGCTTTGCGACGTCGAAGACAGCTCCTTCAACGACTGTGTCTCATTGCCGCCATCTCAACGCTGCTGTTGATCCTCATTTTCCCTTCATTTCGAGCGTTATTCCTTCCCGCAGTCTCGCTTGGCCTTGTTTCCTCCGCGGAAGATCTACAGTTAGAAACGGTTCGATACTATGATTTGTCTAAGATGCAGGGCAGTGGAAGTGGTTGGGAGCATGGAGAACGGGTACTCATGTGCACGCCCTTGAGGGACGCCGCATCTCATCTGCCGATGTTCTTTTCGCATCTTCGCAACCTTACATACCCTCATAACCTGATTGATTTGGCATTTTTGGTTTCGGATTCCGAAGACGATACGATGGAAATGCTGTCATCGATGCTGGATGATCTGCAGAACGACGCCGATCCGAAGATGTCGTTCGGAGAGATCTCGGTCATCCAGAAGGATTTTGGTCAACAGGTTCAACAAGATGTGGAGAGTAGACACGGTTTTGCCGCCCAGGCAAGTCGCAGAAAGTTGATGGCTCAGGCACGGAACTGGCTGCTTAGCGCGACTCTGCGTCCGACGCATAGCTGGGTCTACTGGAGAGATGCAGACGTCTTGACGGCTCCGACTACGATTTTGGAGGACCTTATGAGACATGATAAGGATGTTATCGTTCCGAGTAAGTACTACGCGCGACCTCTGCTGTTGCGTTCTAACCTTGAGAATAGATGTTTGGCGTCCCCTGCCGGATTGGCTAGGTGGGGAACAACCGTACGATTTGAACTCCTGGCAGGAATCCGAAACCGCGCTGGCCCTTGCCGAAACTCTGGACGAGGATGCAGTCATTGTGGAGGGTTATGCCGAGTATGCAACGTGGAGACCTCACCTCGCATATCTGCGTGACCCGTACGGGGATCCTGATATGGAGATGGAGCTTGATGGTGTGGGAGGCGTCAGTATTCTGGCAAAGGCCCGTGTCTTCCGGGCCGGTGTCCATTTCCCAGCCTTCAGTTTCGAGAAGCATGCCGAGACTGAAGGTTTCGGAAAGGTGAGACTTTATGCTCGTTATTTTATATGTTATATACTAACTCTAAACAGATGGCGAGACGGATGGGGTTTTCGGTCATTGGCCTTCCGCACTACACGATTTGGCATCTTTACGAGCCGAGTGTGGATGACCTCCAGCATATGGAGGAAATGGAGCAGGAGCGACTGGAACGTGAGAGAGAAGAACAAGAACAGGCTGAGCGTGCTGACCGGGTTCAAACGCTGTTCAAGGACGCCAAGTCACAGTGGGAGGACGATACTGCGAATATACAAGAAGCCATCGACAAGGAAGGGAAGAGCCAGGCGAGCGACTACTCGTCATCATCAGATGTCGATAGTACAAAAGGCAGCGCAGAAGGTCCCGTGGCCCAGCCCGCTGCGAAAGAGCAGGGAAGTGCCGCGATCACACAGGAAGAGTCAACAAAAGAAAGAAAACAGGCGAAGCAATAGAGCAGTGATGCTTGGAGCTTCGAGGTTCAGTGATAGTCGAAACGAGCCACAAGAATGGGGTCAGGGAGTTTTCTCGAACAACGGCGCTGGAAACCTCACTATAGACTGACCATACAGCGCTGTGCTGGCCACAGGGCGACTTTCTTTGACTGGAACTACTGTTTCTGGATGGGCTCCTATACTGTGTAAATGGTGTTGGGGACTATATTTGACATGGCTTTCCTTTCCTTTGCTTCTACTTGATTGTCTGATCACACAAGAAACACATAATCTTGTTGATCTCTGTTATGGCTGAGATGATAGTTTTTAATTATGTACAGCATAGACCAATGAATTATTACATTAAGTGAAATAATAGCCATCCAATGCGATGCTTTTCGTAAGCAGATATTCATGATGTAGATTTACATTGTGATTCCCATATCAGCCGCATGGCAAGTGCCGTTTGCAAATTAAGCGGTGGCCCGTGCATCCATGGATCTCGAAAAGCACGCGTACCGCGTCCAGAGCCCACCCGGAATGTTCCTCTGCACATCTACAATCCTCAGGAAGGGAACATAATCTAAGCGACTGCAACCCTTCCATAGGTCCTTGTCTTCTGTCCTGGAACGGCATTGAGGTCAAAGATGTCCACACAATCCGCCCAGAGCATCCTCTTCACCCACACGGCCCCGCAACAGGCCTTCCGATTACTCGAACTGCCACCAGATCTCGCAGAACTTCTTGCCTCCGACAATCCTCCAACGTACGTCTACAGCAACTCGAAGCCAATCTCTACCCCCTCTTCCACCCAATTCAAGGAACGCCGAACTAACCAATTGAACCGACAGCCTTGAGATCAAATCCCCTACACCCACCACTGATTCCACCGACGCTCCCGCCGACACCACCCGCGATTACATCAACCTCTGCACCCCAACCCAAACCTACCGCATTCGCCAAGTCCAGTCCTCAAACTCACTGCATGTCCTCCGCCCAAGTGACGATGGCGCTCAGCGCGGCGACCTCGCCGTCATCGGCGCCACACAGGAAAACGACGAGCCCGTCCCCGACCTGAACCTCTCGGAGACAATGACTGCGATCGCGAAGTGCGGGTCCACGCTTGAACTACACACCCCGCAGGAAGGGTTCAATATTATCCCCATATTAGAAGGGTTACTGGGAAAGTATGACTCTAGTGACGACATCTCCATGTCTGCAAGGGACGGTGGGATGATGGTAGACTCTACGGACCGGAAACGGATCGTTGAGAAGTTATTTGCTGATGTTCCGGTGTCGGATCTGCAATGTGCGAGGGCCTGGAAGGATATTTGTGCGTTTGTGCTACCTGCTACGGGTCGTGGGTGGGTGCCGACGGCGAGGGCCAAGGTTGGGGTGTGGAAGCGGGTGGTTGAGGGGGCTGTGTTGCAGGGCATTGATTTGGGGACGCAATTTCTGGTAGGGGATTTGTGGAATTCGATGCTTGATGAGGATGGGGAGGGCGAGTGGCCGAGGGAGCTGTTTGAGGCGGTTGTAGGGAGAGTTTGTGAGACTGGTGATGAAGGGTCGTTGTTGGAGGGGGAACTAAAGTGTAAGTTTCCTGTATCCCGGAAGGCGTGGATTTGACTGGCCGGAGTTGACTCTTTTATCTACTGGTGCAGGGGCTAGTATTGATAAGGAGCGGTGCGTGCGATGGGTTGGTGAAACCTATTTAGAGGCTGCGGCGCCTACGGCGGCTGCTGCTGTTGGACGTAGCGCATTTCTCAACGCTTGGAAGGATCATCTGCCAGAAGGCTGGAGGGAGGAAGCTACGTTTTCGAAGCTTACGGTAGGATATTTCTCTTCGTCTTTCTTGCTCTACTCTAACAGTGTGTACAGGAGGACAAGCATAGATTCCCTGATCCAACGACTGTCTGCTTTGTCAGTGATGAAGATCGGCAGAAACTAAAGAAGAATCTCTCGACAGATGCTAGTGCGTCTACCGCTGCGAAAAAGACGAGAAACTGGCATGAACTATTCAAGAACCAGAAGCGACAGAAGCGTTGAGGCTCTAATTCTAGAGGCATTATGATGTTTATCAGGGTGGAAGCAGGTGTCTCTCAGCACCAAGCGTATTTCTCGTTCAAGTGCCATTCCACGTTTGCACCCAAGCCGTGCTCGGCACCAGTCCATCTCAGGCACGCGATGCTGCTCTTCTCCCGGTGAACTACTTCGGCCTTGGGGTCCAGCAAGGCAACTGCCTTTTTCAATAGTGGCGTTGGGTTCCAGAACTCAACTGTTGCCATGTTCCATCTGCACGCTTCGAGCTGAGCACGTCGCAGGACCGCCGCCATGGCTTTCACAACCTTTTCGCCCTGTTCTGGTGAGGTGGGCTCGTCGTACACCCATCGGAGAATGTACAGGGTATTCTCCTCGGGCGTTTCACCAAAGTTCCTGTTCCAGGCACAGTACACCCCGGCACTGTCTTCTCCAGCACCCTTTGCGCGAGGCAATTCGCGGTCGGTATATAACCTCTCCGCATAGAATTCTTCTCTTGCCCAGTGCCATTCGAAGTGCTCGAAGTTCGGTGCAATCGCAATTCTGGGCACTGATGACTTTTGAGAGGCCGCCCTCAACAGTTCACGCTCTTTTTGCAAGACCTCCTCACTACAAATGCTCTCGTGAACGTCCTCTGGTGTCAAAATCCTTGTTTTCGGGAAATTGGCCTGAACATTGGCAGCGGCATAGACGTCCTCGGAAATGGGCGACAAGGCAAAATGGCATGACGTGTATGGCTGCCAACCAAATTGAGCATAAAAGTCCTTTCCGATATCAGAAAAGAGAACTGTGAAAAGGCAACACTTTCGAGTCTCTGTCTCCATCTTCCAAGTCTCGATCTTCTCGCTCAGCTCCTGCATCATTCTCTTGGCGTATCCTTTGCCTCTGAAGTCCGGCCGGCAATAGACACTTCCAATACCATGAGTTGCAACGTCCTCCACAACACCGTCATGTGCCAACATGGCTTTCTTTCGGTATGTTTCACAAGAACCGAGGATCGTTCTATGCTCTTCCGGCTCTTTGCGATCAACCAAGATCCAACAGGTCAAGCCATCCTTATTCAGCCGTTGCTGATACAGATGGTTCTCGCGCGTGATATACGTCTCAAGGTCCAGACGGCCCTTCCATGCTCCGCTGTTGAGACGGATGGACTCAATCCGCTCCCCGGGGGTGGCAGGAACCAGCACCAGGTCAGGGGAGTCCCCTTGAGGGAGCTCCTTGCCGTTGAAATAGGAGTTGTCAGCAGCGATCATGATTGATGTCTACTTGGTAGAAAAGAGGGGTTCGTTCTTGTTGTCTGATGGAGGAACTTGGGTATGAGGGTGAAAGCGATTCCAGTGAAGAGAAGTGGTGAAAGGACTACACGGCGCGTTCAAAGAAAGCAAATGTTTGGAGCAAAGGAGCAACTCCGAAGGTGTTTGACCGGAGTCCGCGCAAGACCGCAAGGGGGGCACCGAATATAATAGATGGAGCCGATAAGGATAAGAAAGTAGACGTGCCCGGGATAACTTACTGGACGCGCAGGCAGCTCATTCTATTCGCCCCGACAGCCGACGACAAGCGGCGACAAGCGCAGCGGTAAAAGAAGCTGAGGGATGGACTTGCCTGGATTGGGTTGCGTCTCATGCCCCGTGACGTCGAGCGGCGCATGATGACCACACAATTCCTTAGGGCATAGGGCTCGCCGGAATGGGGGGAAATCTGGTCTGGGGTTCGGGGACTACCGGGGTTAGATTGATATGACGCCGTGGAATATACTGGGCTACAGTCTATTTTGGTTCGAGTTGTCTAGGAATGATCAAACTGCCCGGAACTTGATATCTACTTTCTAGTTCTGAGGAATGCCCGTGATGAGTCAGTCATATTGTTTGACTTTCCCCCTTTGTAGGCAATTGACAAACAAGACAGTTCCCCTACTGGGCAGGCGGTCGGAGAGTACCGGTACCTGTCACGTGGGGCAGCTGTCAGACCCGGCGGGGGTTTGTTCTCTGGATCCCCCCAACCATCTCTCCCACTCGAGGAATCCCCGTTCAGTCTCTCGCAATTGCTGCTGTTCCGTCTGGATGGTGGCGGCTGCTTTCTTATTTCTCCGTCTAGCGTCACGGGCTGAGACGCCTCCTCCATTTACTTGCCTGATCGGTGTCTTAGTCTACGGCTTACAACGGAACTACCCCCGTTGTAGATAGGATTTTCCCCCAGCATTGTTGACGGACTTCTGCCCCACTGTGTGTGCCAACCTTGGGCCCTGTTGATACTATTCCCCGTTGGGTGACCAGGCATTCGGATGATCAACCGCTAGACAATATCTCTCCATTCACCAAAATTCCCTATACAAAAATTAGCGACCTGGTAGCAGGATAGCGCCTTACAGACACTCAGAGGCTGTGGGTTGGTTTCCTCAGCCTTGCTTGGGTGGTGGCCTCAGACGAGCCTGATCCTCACTCGAGTAGGTTCACTGACAGCCTTTGTGTATCATCCATTCATGCATGTCAGGTGTGCACAAGACAATAAGCTAAGCTCGCCTTGGCTGTACGCTTATTGCTCTGCAAACAGCCCCACGCCCTTCAGACTGATAGAGCATAGATAGCCTCATCACATTACTTTCACTGGCCCGAGCGATATACGGCCGTTGCCGACGTTCCTCAACTATTGCGGGGTCTTTGCCTCTCCAGGCAACGCTTCATTTAACATCTTCACCACTATTACCTTCCCCCAATAAAAACCAACCACAGCTAATTAGCGGGCCCTCAATTTCACTTTACTTTTGTTATCAGCTCTGATCCTTTGGTTCACCTTGGATTCCGTTTCAGAAACTTTCAATCGTAGGAATATAACGCTTTTTCTGTTCGTTCAAAGCAACAAGAACAATGGAGGGGCCCAATTTCACCAATCCCTTGTATTCTGCGCTTCCTATAAGAATGGGTTATATGGACCATGCAAATGCAGATCTCACTCTGGATGACAACCCTGCGCTGCTTTGGGATTTATACGACCACGGGTTCTATCCTTTGCCTGACTATGACCAACCAATGAAGAAACAAAGGCAGATCAGTCGCGACAGCAGTCGCAGCAGCAGCAACAGTCATGAATCCATAATCAACATCCTGGACAGTGATAGTGATGATTACAATCGTCTTGAGTCAGGGATCGAGTCAGGGGCCTCCTCGCGCCCATCGACAAAATCGCTCTCATCATCGGCCATTGCCACCACGTCAACCTCATCACGCTCCAACACGCACTCTGAAGCAGTGTACATCGATCTCACTTTGGACGATGAATTATTGTGGCAGATCACAGACATCTTTCCGGGCATCAGTCACCAGCATGTGGAAGAGCTGATCGAACTTTATAAGAAGCCTCAAGAGCATCAACCTGCGCCGCCCCTAGATTCATTGAAGGAAAGTGTTATTGAAGATATCTTACGGCATCCTAGCTATCCTAAGCAGGAAAAGGCCAAGAAACGTAAGATTGAGGACACAGACGAGGAAGCTACGATACGGTATCTGCGAGATATACCAGAACGAGGTAGTCGTGCATACCTCCAACTAGCGTAATTGCACCGCCTATAACTATGAAATTCCAAACGCTGACCTTCTACTTTAGAACCAATTTGTTAGCCCAAGAATTTGGGTGGATGCCGATGAAACATATTCGGGATGTTCTGGAAGAGAAAAAAGAGCTCTTTGCCGCGTATCTCACTCTGCATTCTCAAGAGAATGAACAGACGGGAAAGTACACAAAGCTGAAAAGCAAAAGGTTTTCGAATGTACCAAATCTGGGCAAAAAGGATGATGAGGCACCTATTGCTGAGAACCTGGCTCGCGAACTAGGAGCCGCCAAGAAGAAAGCTGAAAAGGAGGACGGTAAGTGATTTGTCTTTGATAACAAGGAATACATACTGATCTTCACTCTCCTGCAAAGATGCCCTTCGCAAAAAGAAGGAAAAGCAAGAAGCTGAGATCAAAAATGAAGAAGAACACAGCCGAGCTGGGAACCTCATCGAATGCCAGTGTTGCTACCTCGATGTTCCAGCGAACCGATCACTTCCTTGTGAGGGTGATAACGTCCATCTCTTCTGCTTTGCGTGCATTCGAAAGTCTGCGGAGACTCAAATTGGGCTTATGAGATATCAAGTCCAATGTGTCGATACTAGTGGCTGTCAGGCAAAGTTTTCTCGCGCGCGGCTACAAGAAGCTATCGGCGAGAGTTTGATGGAAAAGCTCGACCGCCTTCAGCAGCAAGATGAGATCCAGCAAGCTGAGCTGGAAGGCCTCGAGGCTTGTCCGTTCTGTGAATTCAAAGCCATCTATCCGCCGGTGGAAGAGGACCGCGAGTTCGTATGCAAAAACCCTGACTGCGAAATAGTCAGTTGTCGTCTCTGCCAGCAGGCAAGCCATATCCCGCGCACTTGCGCAGAAGCCAAAAATGAGAAGAATCTTCCTCAACGTCACTTAGTCGAAGAGGCAATGAGCGAGGCTCTAATCCGCCCTTGCCCCAAATGCAAAGTGAAAATTGTCAAGGAAATGGGCTGCAACAGGATGATTTGCTCCAAATGCGGGACTGCAATGTGCTACGTTTGCAGACGAAATATTACCCGAGAGATGTACGAGCATTTCGAGCGACCTCCGACCTACTGTCCCCTCCATGACAATCCAGCATTACGCTCGTTACAAGAGATTGAGAAAGCTCAGAAAGACACTATCGATAGTTTATTGGCACAAAATCCCGAACTAAAGGAGGAGGAGCTGCGAGTCCATGACGCAAAAGACTCGGCCGCCAATATGTCGCACGTCCTTCAAGGTCATGGTAATGGGCTCATACGCCATTTAGGGCAAGCGCCAATCCAGCCCAATCATGTGGTGTATCCAGGGCCAGGTATTCCAGTAGGAAGAGTCAACCCCCCAGCTGTTGCTCACCGATTCGATGCACCCTTTGGCAACGGAAATGGCTGGGGTGGACAAGGCTGGCTTCAGAACCCATTAGGACAACCTAGGAACCCACCAGGACGCCCTGTGCCTACAAACGTCGTACATAGGGGTGTAAACAATCAGGGCAATCCTCTTCAAGATCCGGCGAGAAGGGTAGATACCAGACCCCCATGGCGATACTAGTGGTATAAACATGAATCCGTCTGGCGCCTACCGCTTTCTTGATCGACGATTTTGATGGACGATTATTTGCTCCGCTAGGCCTTTGCACCTCGTTTTCAGTCCAGAACAAGCGACACACCATACCCTAGATCGAGACGCGTCGATACTGCAGCTTCCATCTTGGTATACCGACTTCCCTCCCTTTTTCCCAACACAGTTTCTGCTTGCTATGTTTCCATCAAATCTAGCGTCTAACCCGTCCCCGTATCTTTCGCCTCCCGCATCGCTCTCAGTATAACAGCAATTGGCTATTCAGCGTTACACAAAAATGTTCTCTCATGCCAGACAAAGCCAACAGCGATCATACCCCTGCTTCATCCGAGCAAGAAGACAAGACAGACAAGCAGTGCCCAGTTATTGATAGAAAGCTTTCTTGGATGTTGGAATGCATCACAGGTCTTGGATTCATTACTCTAATTATCGAACCACTGAAGCGATTCCCCTAGCATCTATTTCCATCATCACATCCCCCGCGCCCCGGGAGCCCTTTCCCTCTTCACCCAGTCCCCCTACCTCATCCATCCTTCTTTATTCCTCTATTATTTCCTTCACTATCATCTCTAATCTTCCCTTTCTCTTGGTTAAGGTAACTTAGAATGGATATCTGATTCTCATTTTGGCATAATCTAATAAATCAATGACTTGGTTATTACTCTTCTCTCTTCATCTACTTCCTTAAAGTAGTCATCGATAATTCAGCTCTTCTATACTCGCAGTACCTCCATAGATCGATAATCCGGTTTAAGGGGATTAAATCATGACAAATCAGAGATCACATGTCCTGGGCATCTTGGGTCATAGTACATGCAAGAAACTGGCGGGGTAAGAATCGGCTGAATTCTGTAGGATATCTGTATGATAATTACCATGATACAGTATCACGTGATATGGCCTATATGGCCTGAGGACTAGTATAAAGCTAAAGCGAGATGAAATCCACCTATAAGCTTATGCTCAGAACTAGGTTACAGCTACGGACTGCATGAACAGAGGGATCATATGACTACGGAACGCGCTGGAACGGACCATACAGACGATACGGCAGCATGGAAAAAGCAGAAGTATGCCCCAAAGATGAAATCAAGAAAAATATTACTATAGAGATTGAGATAATAAAAAGGAACTTCCTACCTATCTGCCAACCGAGTGCCCGGCCTAGTCTACTACTCATCACTATCTCATATCCATAACATCACATCTTATCAGTCATGAGGACGCAAAAGTAACGGCACCAATAAAAAACGAAAAAAAAAAGCAACGTAGGCGATGGTGATAAGATGGAAATCTGAGCCCAACAACAAGCGCTGACAACGAGTCAAAAAGGCAACCACGAAAGCCGTGTTTGATGGAAATCCAAAGAGAACCAGACAAGACTTTCACAGGATAGGCAGCATAGCACATGACCGACACGCATATATGCCACAATATACAGGTGAAAAATAATAACTCACATGATGCGTCAGGAACCATTCTTCTTCCTCCTCTTTTTTGGTTTTGTTTCCTTCCATACAGATGGATCATCTGCGTTCTTTTTCCATAGCCAATCGATCAGACAACCTCATGGATAAACACAAACAATTGTATTAGACACCCCAGTTTTCTCGAATAGCAGCAGCTGTGTGTCTGTCGGTTTCCGTAACTCAGCTTTGATTTTTCTTCCATGTAAGGCGATATGGAGTTCAGTGATACTGACACACTGTGGACGCCTGTATCCCATTATCAGCTGGTTTCGTGACTTTATGCAGCCAAATCGTGTCAAGATCCCTTTCACTGGATCACATTTCCAAGATGGGCACGGCAGTCAAAGCGAGGCGAAGGAAGAACAGAGGCAAACACACACACACGCCGAGGGAAACAAGGAGATGCCAGAAGAAATGCGATGGGGACAAATTAACGATTACGGACAGGACTCGAGACCCTCCCCGAGCAGTGGGGACCATGCTGGCAACTTTTTGGCAGCTAGTTGCTAGATATTTGAATTTGCTAGGATCATGTAGTTGGAGAGAGAGCTCAACAAAGGAGACGAGCGGAATACAATAGGAAATGGTATGAAAATGAGAACACTCCGAGGAAATGGCGGGAAGGAGAATGGTGGAGAATGCTTGGAAAAAGAAATAGAGACGTCTCCAGAGATGAGAAAGTTTGGAAGTAAGAAAAAAAAAAAAAAAAAAAAAAGGAAAAAAGGCAATGAGAAAGAATGAAAAAAAAGAAGAGAGATATAAGTAGTAATAGAGAAGAGAAATAGAAGGGGAAAAGGAACGTGACAATATGACGACAGGCAGAAATGGACGGAAAGAAATTGCGAGCAAAAAGACAAGGAAAGATATGAACCAGATCTATGTAATGCCATGCGAGTCCCAGAAATCGTCCGCTCCCCATTTTATATATTTGCGCCGCTCACTCGGACGACAGTGCCTAATTTCCTCATCCATCATGTATGTTCGATCATTGGTCACGCTAAAACAAGAATGAGATAAATGGAGATATGAGATAAGGAGCAGAAAATGTTTCACTGAAATCAGAAAGTAATGGTGAACTAGACGAACACGGCAGCAAGCTATAAGATAGAGATCCGCAGCTCATGGTGGATGTTCAGAGTCCACCGGTTCATTAAACTTCTGCCGTGCCTCTTCCACCCATAGTTCCAGGCGAAGCTCTCCAGCTTCTACACGTCGTACCGGGACCGTCTTGGCACGTCCATTCGATACCTTGGGAGGCGGCTGTTGCGGCTCGCCGTTTCTCAACTTAGAAACGGAGTAAGGGGCGGTGCACGATCGGAGGTGGACCTTATCCGGTTCGGCCACAATCCATGTCTGTTCTTCGGTTGTGGTCCCCGCCGGGGGTAAAGCATCTTCCCGCACCTCGATGCAGACGGTGAAACTGAATTCATCGTCCCGAGGCAAGGGAGTCAGGCGCGCACAAGCTGAAGCCAGTCTTGCTAGACAGGCCCGAAATTGCGCTTCGAGGTCGACTGATGTGGGGGCGGAAGCCCGGTCGGTTACGGGAACACCCGCTTTGGTTTGTTCCTCCCTTCTGTCTTCGAAGGTGGTATTGACTTCGCCAGCCGGAACACGGGGGAAGCCCGATAAATCAAAGGCATATCGTTCGAGGGGTTGATTCGTACGGAGGGAGGAGATGATAATGCTGACAGCGGTTATTGTGCCTTTCAAGATCTCCGTTCCGACCGCAATTGACGCGTCATTGATGTAATCACACACCTTGGGGTGACGGGATTGTCGGACGGGATAGTTGTACGCCCGCACGGGGAGGAACGTGGCTCGTGGATAGACCGAACGTAAAAACAGGATCTGGTGTATTGATACGGTGAGGAAATTGGTGAAGGATGCCGCCAACGCAGACTGATTGTTGGGCATCGATCTAGGTGCGGTGACCGGGGCGGAAAAAGTTGTCATGGTGGTAGTAACGGAGTTGACGGTGGTACTCTCACTGGCAATCGGCATTGCCGTCGTAGGCTCTGGTATCGTCGTTTCCACGGGAAAGATGGTCTTGACGGGATCTCGGAGATTCTGAGTGCTGTTCCACCCTGAGGCTAATCATCGCTCTGCCTTTTTCCAGACGAGTCAACAACAATATTCGATTCCACTCATGGAGAGGTTGATATATCTCTCTTCCACTCAGGTATTCCTTTGCGACAGCAGGAGGGGGAATGGTGAGGCGAAGAGGGGAAAGAGTGGGGTGGTAGTAGTCAAGGTGAGAGGGAGGAGGGATGAGGAGGGGGGTGGTTGGTTGATTGGTTGGTTGGTGGATGTGCGAGGTCAAAATAGGGAGGGGGGAAGGGAATGGAAATGAACAGGAGTTCGAAGAACCGGAAATAAAACCGGGAACTCGGGAAGATGATATAAAAAGGCAAAATGGGGGAATAAAGCGAAAGAGTAAGAAAAGGAGATGGTATGGTAGGAGATAAGAACAAAGTTGTTGTGTAAAAGGGGAGAGAAAAACAAAATTGAGGGCGGGGGGTGGGTAGAGAAAAGCACCTAAGATAGGGCGTTGGTGGGAAAGTAGCGGAGATGGAGTGAGAGGGAAGTTGGTGGTGGTGAGTTGAGTAAGAGGGTCGTTTAAGGGAACGAGTGTCAGGGAGGGAAAGAGAGAGAGGGAAAGGGAAGAAGAGGGAAAGACAGCGAGTGAGGAGGGGAGGGGTGAGTGAGTGAGTGAGTGGATTGGGGTTCGAAAAGTAAGGAAAGAACTTCGGAATTAAAACATACGTTGGGTGGACGAGACGAAAGAAGCAGACCTCAGAGCATGGATGGAGTCGTTGAGATCGTGACAACCGGCGTGAACGAGATCTGGGATAGGATTAAGGAGAGAAGAGTTCTGGCTTGACGATAACGACAGCGACGACGATGTTGCTGCTTTTGCTGCTTTGCTTTGCTGATGGAAATTTCCTTTTTTTTTCCCTTTTTTCTTCCCTGGTTGGAGTTCCCGTTTTAGTATTTTCCTCTTTGGCTCTCCCCTCTCCCTCGGAAGTTTTTGTTCCTGGACAAAAAAAAACTTTTTTAAAATAAGAGAGAAAAAAAAATATTACTTGGCTAAAGAAGAGAAAATTATGTCCTTTTTTTTTTTTTAATTCCTTGCTCTCTGCGTCTAGGGAGAGGAGGGACGGCAGACGATAGGAAACCAACCCTTTGAGGGGGGGCGGCGTGGGAAGGGAGAGGTGGGCTGCTGGCTTGAGCTGGTTGTGATTGGGAAAAGGCCGTTTCGACCAGGGAAGCCCACTAAGGTCCCAGAACTAAAAGTAGAGAGGGGGATTTTGCAAAGAGAGCGAGCAGAAGGCGCCGGCAAAGCACAGAAATATGAAAAGAGGAAAAGAGAGGGAAAGAGAGAGAAGAGAGAGAAAGAGAGCAGAGCGAGAGAGTCGCGGGCAGGCAGTCCTTCGGAGGGGAAGGCTTGTCGGGCGACGAGTCGTCCAGGTAAAAGGCGCCCAAGTCACGGTTCCCAGCCCGTCACGTGGTTGCGTCATGGGTGTGGATGCCATGCAGCAATCATCATACTGCTGCTGGTCGTGGGAAAGAAGGAACGCACGTACGGAGTCCCTTCCTCGCCCAATGTATGCCTACGTCTTGTTTCCACCCACTTCCCAAGGCTGCCTGCTTACCATCTACTAGTCTACAACTCATACATTCTTCCCCTCCAAGAGTCTGCCTGCCTACATCCTAGTTCTCGGTGGGGGTTGATGCTAGCCGAGGGGATCAAGTGACGCAAAGGGGTACCTCAGGCGCAGCTTGGGGGCGAAACAGAGGATGTAGGTAGAATGGCAAAGAATTTGGTCATGATGCACTACGACTATACATTACCCGAGACAAGTAAGAAGCCCACACCGTGCAAGCTCTGTGTAGCTTAATGCAAACTCATGGAAGGCATTCCGTTGGCAAAGAGGGCAAAAAGCAAAGGAAAATGAAAGATTATCGCTGGGCAAAGTATGACAGTATGTATGACGGTATGTAAGTAAGCATCTGCGCCGTATTGGTATTGTCCACGCCAGTACAAGACGACAAGACCCAGGCTCGTCAGTAGTGGGATGACTGACTCCAGTTCACTGAGCCGATCATCATGAAATTAAACTTGAGTCGACACGTAGGTGACCGGGGTAGAAGACAGGAGCGACATCGATAATAATTAGTCAGGATTTTGAGAGATTAAAAGGAACGAAAGTTAAAACAGCTAGTCGTCCCAGAAATCTTACTACAAAGCCGGAACAACTACTCTGTTTCCCCCGTATGTCGCCCAAGGTTTCCAAGGTTCAATCAATCAAATCTGGCTTGCTCCGAGGTTTAATGAGGTCAATCAGTTTTACCTAGTTAAGTAGTCGGTTAAAATAGTCCGGAGTAATTATTAGCTATCTAACTATGACATTTCAATATATCTACTCCCTCTGCAGTGGTTGCATGTATTGCTGCTGGGTTGTTCCTCCCGGCCAAACAGTATACCCTCAGAGAACGATATCATACAAAGGGCCTCCTGCTGAGGGTTAGAACATCGTCCTTCACCGTCGGAATGTCTTAAGGAGAAGCTGAAGAATGCTTAGTGCGCGCGATACGAGAGCTATCTTGAGCTTACCCCTCCTGCTGCGGATTCCGGGTCTTATGCATGGCCCTGAAGGTCGCCAGTTCGCATTATTACCCGATCCCTGATTATTATTAGAATATCTCGACACAATTGCTCTAGCACACGCGATCGCCTTCTAGGTTGTTCCTCGTTGATCCATTTAAATACAATACCCGAGGCTACTTTTGACTGTATGGTATCCGATCTTTCAATAAGTAATGATGTAAGAGTATGTATGGACATAACATACTCCATACAGCGACCGAGAGTACATTTCAAACCACACCATAACGTACTTTTCTTCTTTGGGCGGTTCCGCCCCTCAGCTGGCGTTAGATAATCAGAGTTGCCGGTTTATCCTCATCAACCCCACTATGATCGACTCACAACTCCCCCCTTCCAATTCCTTCCTGTCATCCTTTTCAGAAATGCATCGAGTCCCCATCTACGCCACTTACCTAGCTACCCCGGTGATCACTACCCAAAGTTTGCTGCACCGCTGTACGGAGCACAGTCGATGATACATAGTACATAAAACATACATTTGGCCACTAGGCACATATGGAGCCTGAGGAGAAAATGGGCTACAAATACGCGGCTGGAGCAAAAGTACAGTGCAGGAACCCAGAAGAATAAGATCTATTGCTTCTCTACATCATCACACTCTCCAAAAGTGGCTCCAGAATGGATTTACAACGATCCAAGGGATTTTCTTTCCTCTTTCTATGATTGGATTGAAGCCAGATCTTCTCCACAGAAAACTTCGACCTAGGCAGATCAGCAACTGAGACAAACATGCCGCCTCTGATTCAGTCTGGCTCCTTCACATAACTAGCTAGGTATTGCTAGTTCTTAGTTTAAAAGGCTCGCACCGCTAGACTTCACTGTCATCATTCCCAATCCCTGGCCACCATTTACAACCTAAAGTGGTATCATGGATTGGGCATAATAACGGAGCAAATTTGCTAATAACGTGCGAGCCAGATCTACCCACCCTGTATTGACCACTAAGATCCGATTACCTGCCATTGATCGCTCATGACTTCAGTGGACACAGCACCTACTTTTCCTCCTCCTTAATTGGGCGGCTAATCAGGCGGACCTTTGTATTGGCTGTATCTTCCTCTTGGAAGTCTCTACCGGATAACGTAGGAGCCAGCAAGACACCCGCCATCGCATGTACTTTGTTCGACCAAGTCGCCGGTCTCGGAGGTTATCCAAAATCCATCTATCGTTTGAGACCGGGGGCTGTCAGACTATTGAATGTGGCTGCTTGGGAATGTCTAAATCTTTGTTCGGCTTGTCTGCGTACGCGCATAACAAACTTCAGTCAAACTGTATTGCAATACATTGGTTTCTCATGTGTTCTGTAAGGAAGACCGTATTATCATCCCTGGGTGC